TCCACAACATGCCACACAGCCTCATCGCCCTTGGAGGCTGGTGGAAAAGCAACAGCTGCTGATTGCGTCGAATTCCGCATGCGCATTTGTACCGCGCGAATGGATATGCACTGTGTGCTTACCCAACAGCCATGGACTCGCAGTAGGCGATCCAGCATGACGACAGGGCTCGAAACAGCTTTGGAACGAGGTTCAGTTGTTAGAAACTGTGTTGTGAGCGTTACATTGGGTGGGGAGAGGGTCCGTCAATCAACCATAATGGCAAATGCATCCCAACATCTCATTTGATGCGATGCTGGCAGTTTGTAACACACTGTACAGCACCGAACAATTTTCTTACCTTGTTTGGCAGATCCACGGCTGCACCATGGTCCAACATAATCTTCGCAATTTCTGCAGCAGTTTGTTCATCAGTCTTTGGGTGCCCTGCCTTCTGCCAAACACCAAAAAGAGGCGTTGCTCCTGCCTGCGCATCCAGCACATCAAACCATTTGCAATGCTTTGCAACACGGAAAACGCCTGGAGTTCGTCACAGATATCAAAGGTAGTTGACGAGTGGATAACCACCAACTCGTCATATTCATGCAGTGGACAAATTGTCAGTCCAACTGAAACTGCAGGTTTCTCATGCATAGGGGAGGCACCGATTCGATGACAACACCCTCAGTGCTGATGGCAACATATTTGATGCTGAGGGTGCGGAAGGGTGGTCCGTCCAAATTGCAGGTGCAAAGAAATGCCAGACCTGCAGAGGAGTCAACACATGAGGAGGCCTTCAATGCAGTCAACTCAACGGCAAACCACACCCATGCATTTGCATTCAGTTTGCCACTTGTATCGCTCGGTGGAGGCTCGATGAACATACCAGACCCCAGCCCACGTTCACATTATCATTTGAATGCAGAGTTCCTTCACCGGAGTGGATATGGAACACTGTGTCAGGTTTACAATACCATAGCAAAAGACAATCCTACCTCGTTTTGTCTGTCCATGGCTGCACCACCCTTCAGCAACAGCTCCACGGCGCTTGGATGCCCATTAAGTATTGCCTCTGACAGGGGCGTGTCACCATCCTGTGCAGTTTGTCACACACCAGAAGATCAATGCTCGGGACTGGCACAAATGTGCAACTCGGTAAACCCGACTAGCAGGATATCAAAGCAGTTTCACAGCATGGTGCCATTCCCATCTCAGGGCATCAGACGCATGCAATGGCAGAGGCAAATGGGCCCTATGCAGCAGTAGTTAGTACTCTCAAGCAGAAAGACCCGCAACGAAATCAGCAATTAAAGATGTTGAGGAAAGATGACCACAAGGACTAGGCGTCTGCTTCTGAGCACCCATGTTCCAGCCTGAGCTGGACACTGCAGGTACGCCAATCTATAAGAGAAGCTCACCTTGTCAACACTGTCCACTTGTGCACCACGGCTCAGCAGCAACTCCACTGTGGTGTTGCAGCCCATCATAGACGCATCTGAAAGGGCTGTGCAACCGTGCTGCAAGCTGACAATAAGAGCGGAAACAAATTTGCATCATTCAGGCTGTCTGACCTCATCCAATTTTTGTCAGTGCACAAGTAAATGGATGTTATCTGGACAGCTGTGTTGCCATATCAGTCGTATTGTGTATCAAGCCAGGCTAATTTAGACTTGTCAATTACACCACACACTGCAACCTTGCAGTACGTTACAGAACTTCATAAATTACAGTGCAAAGACCCTGTGTACAACGTTCAGTACACGCACATTGCCGACCAGTGGCACAAATTACCATTAAAGCCCTCACCCACACCCAAGCTCCCACACATTTGGATGAGTTTTCTATCACATGTCATCTACTCCTGCCACTTGGGCAATTTCAAGGCCTTCTGCACCCTGTTTAAATGCAGCCCAAGCATGGTCTGGTGGGAGCCCTTGGCAGCTTTTTGGTGACTGAAAGACGTTTCAGTGGCTTGCGGTGTGAGATTGGCGTCGATGAAGGCGTTGGCATCTCAAGCGACGAAGAGAAGGTGTCGTGAAACCATTGGAAGGCTGGAGATCACCACCTCTTCCCTGACGATATACTGTTAACCTCTGGAGAAGACAACGGGGCCCAGAGAGGGTGTCGCAGTGAGCCAAAAACAAGTGTACTTTGTGGAAAGTGCCGCAAACCACCGGAGAGAGTGCGCCCCGCCCCCACCCACCCACCCCTACATTCTGCATGAGGTGGCTGACTCAATAGCGGCCCACTGCATTGTCGTGCTGGCTCACCAACCCGGCGAACGAGACCCCTCTTCCCGGACTGTTTCGTCATGATTCACACGCCTACTAGCCTCCTCTCCCCCCCTGCACCAAGGCGCCTTTGACTGCCATGGTTTGCGCACCGGGGAGGCGTCCGCCTACTTCACATTGGAGGTACCGGAGCAGCACATCTACCATTGGGGCGATTGGCGCAGCGCCGTGATGTGGCATTACATTGACATGTGCCGTATCCCATCAGAGTGGGATTACCGACGGTTCGGGTGGATGAGGATTACCGCCCGCGATTTGCATGTGTGGTATGGCCACATCTTCTGCTACGGAGGAGCATAGTGTGTCCGAGGGTGACTGGGCACATGAGTTGTGGGTACTTTGGGTTGTTTGGGACAAACGGTCAAAGCATTGTAATGTGTTGGTCCAGTGTGTGTGTGGTCCTGAGTGGATTAAGGAGCCTGTCCAGGTGGAAATAAGGTAAACAGCCATCCGCAGATCCCTTAAACGTGGCAAACGGCGCTGCCATTCTTGCGGTGTGTGGAAAGGAGCTTGCGTGGCTTCTCATTTTGCCGAGACCTGCGGGGCATGGCGAGCTTCTTTTGCCCAAAGGGGTGGATCGAGCTGAGCTATCACTAGGAGAGAGGTATGCTTGCCACCCCCGTCCCTGCCGTCCCTTATCACCACCTTGATTTGGCACGTTGATCTTGGTCCAATTTGGTGCAATGGATGTAGAGGGATTGAGTGCAGCGGACACCAGACGTCCGGCGACCATTATCATAACATTTCTGATGATGGCACTTTGCGATATCTGGTGTACACTGCAGGCAAACCGTCTGCATGGTGTACCGTCTTTCCCATATGTACGTTCGAATTGGCATGCTATTGCTCTGCAGATCCAGAACTCATGAACGTGTAAACTTGAAGCAACACTGAACGCACATATAGTATATTATCACTGTATATTAAATATACAGTGACATTGCACCGTGCGCTCTAGCTGTGCATTCTATTTGGCGTGCAGGCCAAGCAGAGCCCCATAAAGAACTAAACTGAGAAGCGCAGGGCTACAAGGCCCCAAAACAGTTGCTGATCGAAACACTGTGCAACGTGGCTCACACATTGCGAGGACACTGATTCCTGCCGACAAAAGAGTCCATGCACGTCTAAAATTGGCAAAGGCGAGAATGGCCGTCGCCACCAGCGTCGCAGAAGCGACCGATGCAAAAACGTATTGTGTTCAGTCTTGCTAACATTTCACAATCACTGAGTGCTTTGAAGAGCCCACCCAATACTTTCCCAAATTGGCGAAGCTGCCTGCCTACATGTTCTCCTTCGGCCCTAGGGAGCCAGGCCATGCCAGGCCAATGCGAATACAACTGTCGCGACCAAGATTGTGGGTTTCAGCTGCCCGTGCAGTCCAGAATAGCTTTCCGACAAGCAGCACTGGCAGGGAGGATAGGAGACAAGAGAAGCTGTCGACACAGTGGACACAATCCGCCTTGTCATTGTGGGAAGTGCTGACGTTGCTGTTGGTGTCGGTGCTGCTCATTCTTCATAAAGAGAACGCAACAATGGAAATCGTTGTTGGAAAAACCTCAACGGATTGGCTGCAACGCTCTGAAGTGTCCCTGCCCTTGCACGAATGAAGCGATGCCGGGCACAATTCTTTCAACATTAATGTCGATCCCTAGCCCGCAGGCTAGCGATCCGGGAGAAGGGGGGGACCATCGGGGGTGGGCTGGAGGACAAAAGCACTTGACAAGTGCCCGAATGGCTGTGGTGTCAAGAGAGTAAACCAGTGCCACATCTGTCTGAAAGTCGTTTTCGGGCAAAGGCAGGCGGTGGCGACTGGGAGGGGTTGCGTGCATGTGGCCGCGAAATTCGCTGCTAAGAAATCAGAACACTCTTGACAAGCAAGATTTGGCCCTATGCTATCGCGGTTCAAGCTTGAATCACACGTTTTTTTCCTCACTTCGCATATACGCTATTTTAGCTATAACTCGTGTTCAGCTCTGTTCAAACTGCGTTCAGATTGTGCAATTTGAACACAGTAGGAAACTATGTAAAATGTGATACTTCTTGCCGGAGGATGGGGCGGCAAGGAGAGAGTCCGCCATCACGTTCAGAGGGATTTCGCGCGCGTGGGTTTCAGTTTATTGCATTGCATGCGTGGATGCAATTGGCATCTGAGATGACGGCATGTGCTCAGAGTACTAACATGGCACATGAGCTTCCAATACAATTCAATTCTCTTCGGGGCTTGCCTTCAGCCATGGGAGTTGGCTGCACTCTGTCATGTCGCCGTGGCAAGGTGGAAAGGAGCTGGCTTGAACATTTGCGCTCTTTTGCGCTCCTTGTCTGTGAACTTCGAACAATCCACATGTCATTCAATGAAACAATCGACAAGCAAAACAACAAATAGCCCAACAATAGGCCTGTGTCTGCCGACAATCCACAAATCATCCAGTCGGCAGGTAGCAAGCAAACAACAATAGGCAGCCTCGAGCTTATCCTGAGCCCAGAGTGCTCTGGGATACACGCACGCTCGTGCTCAAAGCTGCGCACATCATATCTACTGAGTGCATTCTAGCAAAGCCCCAGAGACAGAAATCTACAACATATGCAAAGCAACATTCTTAGGAATGCTTGGACGCCATTCCCACCAGCTCTGCTGCTCCCCAGGAGACTGGAGCAGGGGAAGTGCAATAGCCCTTCGTCCTGCTAAAAGCTGGGTCGAGATGGCGGTCACGTGATAATAGGGAATTGTGCTCACACCGCTGCCTGCAGAGGACATAGAAAACAACAGTTGCATTAAGCCTGCGTTGATCAAATGTCGCACGCCGCATCGCATAGACTGTTGACAGCAGGACACAGCCTTTTTTTCCTTGGTCGCAAGAAAGTTTTGTATACGACGCAAAGCATGTCCCACTCTCTCCTTCTGCACTAAGCGCACCCACAGGCTGAATAACAATGTTGAAGTCTTCATTCAAACAATGTTTCGCACTTTCTTCACCCTTTTTGCGGAGTCGCATCTGGCAGTTGGCTTACACCATGTTCGTGCAACACCTCATATCACGGGAAGGGTGCCCACAGTAAGATTCTCTAACTTGAAAACCTAAATGCGATGTAATAACTGGAACCAAACCAAAATTAAGTCCACAACTCTGGGCTCTACACGCACAATTCAAAATGACCTTGCGATTGGAGCGACCCACAGCACATGTAGTGGAGCAAGAGCAAGCCTTTGCCCTGCGTCGAGTCTGGCGATGATATGTGGCCCGTGCTCTGCAAGCGTTTGTCACGGCAAATCATGTAACAACCCAACAGCAAGGACGAAAAACTGGCTACTCTTGAATGCCAAAGGATGGCGCAACTCAGAGCTTTGGGAGGCAACGCCATCTCATGGAGCTGCAGGTTGGTTCTGTCCTATTTTTGGCATACGCTGAATTTCTTGTGCACATCGCCATGGCACTATTTTTGTGTGTCCCAGGAATTTCTCAAGTTGGGACAAAGAAGTAACAAGAATGCCTTTCCCTGCTGCGTGCATCATATGGGCAACTTGAAATTACGAGCAACACACCAGCTTGCAGCACTGGATTCAAATGCGGTCCAAAAGGCATCACAAATATCCAACAGTACAAAGCACAAAGCATTGCCAAACACAGTGTATCAGGAACACTACTGTCAATGTCAAGTAAACGAACAACGGCGTCTGTTTGTTGTGGCCACACAGCGAAGCGCCTGAAACTGCACAGCACAGCTGCACTGACACCAGGCATCCTGTGGCAGACTTGGCCGGTAGGTTTACACGGACCTCTTGCATCCCAGACTCTGTGCTCTCCACCGTTGTGTCCGTCAGGATGGCCATAAAAGTCGCCCTGCTGTCTTCAGGCCCAACGACCTGCTCCTCCTCCGCGATCACCTTTGCTTGAGGCGGTTTTCTGGAGGAGGGCAGCAGGGGACCGCCGAAGCACTCGCAGAAGTAAGCGCTGTGAGAGGTGACCACCTTCAAAAACATGTCCGCAGGAGAGTCGCCATCGCTGCCATTCTGCTGCAGATCATAGTACAATTCCACAGGATCTGTGACTGTCAGACCAGCCTTCTTCCGAAGCTTCTGGAACCTGTAACAAGCGGCACATCTGGCTTAATTTCGTTGAACACAGTTATTGCAAGCTGCCAACGGAGATCTTGTGGGCGCGGCCGAATTGTTGCAAAGGGCCAATTGGAGGTGCAATTTGATGTGCTTGTCAACGGATACTGGACGGAATTGGAGTAACTGAAGTGATGGCAGCAATAGCACACTCCTGGACGATAGTGAATGGACAACACATTGCCAATACTTGGCAAATGCAATCAGGGAAGAATTCAGCTGAGAGAAACCAATAAAGCCAGAAGGTGGTGTCTCTGATAGTGTAAGCAATATTCTCATTCATAATCATGCTGCAGCACACCGGTCGTCATTCCACACAACACTATCACATCATGTTCAAACTCAACCCACACACGGTAAGCTGTGGTTTGGAGTATAAGCACATGCCTCAACGGGGCGTTGTGGTGTCCTCTAAGCAGCGTAGGCACATTAAGTCTGCCTTAGCACCAGTGTGACAGGGAAGAGTGGCTGGGAACAGGCAATGCCCCTCTGTGATTTATCAATGCAATCTACTGCGAGCCCACCTGTTCACAATCTCCCTAGCCATTCCTGACTCCAGAAGACCAGTGTCGACTCTCAGATCCAGCACAACCAAAACGTCCATATCCCCACCAGCATCCATTTCTTCGCTATTGTGGCCTTCAGGCGGATTGAATTTTCTCAAGATCTGCATCAGAAGTCAGGTACACTGTTGTCTCTGTTGTGCACAAACCGGTTGCCTCAACTTGTTCTAAACTGTGTATGCATCATGCCACCCAACACAGTCCCCAGATGTAAGGAAATGAGACAACCAGAGGATTGACCACTGGATGGAAAAAGGAGCCTGTACAGGGTACTGTTGAACAGATAAGAAATCAGCCAAGGAGTATGAAAGTCGATCAAATCCATTCCAACATGGTATATGGTATCCTAGGGTGTGACAAAAACCCAGTTGGTCGGCACCCATCTCCCTATCAAAGGAGCTACCATGACCACACGTGCTGCAAACATCGTCAAAACCTTGTATTCTGTGAGCGCATGTCTTCTATTCTGTCTCTTCTGTGTGGTTGAGGAGTATACCATTTACTCATGGCTTAAGTGAGCAGCTGCATGTGGATATGACTAACGTGCAGATCACCAGGGAAGCAGGGGATGGCACAATGCTGATTTCTCTGGGCCAAAATGCAATGCAACAGCAGACAGACACACCATGTTGTATTCAATGGCAATCAAGGGAGCGATTGAAATCCATTTTGGCAACTGCCATTTCCTGATTCTTCTGCCAATTCAGACTCCCATGGGCTGTCGGACCTTAATTTCGTCAGATTTGATTTCATGCCCCTCCAGAGTGACTGAACCTGTAGCCTGCAGCTCATTGATGGCTGCCACATCCATCTTCTTCACTGCAGCAGCCACTTTGCCCAAGTCCTTCTTTAGTCGTGGGCCCAGGGCGTTCCAGTCAGGCTCAGCCTGGAGGTTGGCATACTTCAGGGGATCACTACAGACCTCCAGGTTCACCACATTGATCTCCTCCACCACATACTGCCGAAGCTCACCTAAGCAGTGAGGATCACTTTCAGGTGGAGAACGTTGCTGCCTCAGCAATAGGGCGAAACCTCCCCAGTTCAAAGAAGCCAGGGATGTTTGGGCCTTTGAGCAGATTGAAGATCCAGGAAATCACAGAAAGGTGCAGCAGGTTTGGTTTGGTAGACGTGAGAAAGACACCTGATGCCATTCTGTGTTGTGGCGCAGCGTGCTCTTTGTACAAGGATGCTCAGGCAGTGGCCTTGCACATCATGGACACCAACTGACTAATGACTCTCTCTGGCAGCACCAACACATCACCTTCAGAATTCTACCCACCTGTGATTTCAGCAAGAAACTGTGTGTCAGGATGCACAACGATCATCTCTTTGAGGGGTGTCTTGATTGGCTTCTTCCTCTGCTCCCTAATGACCCTGGCCGCATCGATCACCCTCTGCATTCGGTCAACGGACTCGTTGAGAAGGGCGTCGCCCTCATGGCTCTCCGCTTCTGGAGGCAGGGGGCAGAAATGGACGCTCGGAGGGGCAGCGTCTGAGGGCAGGCAGTGTTTCAAGTTCTGGTACATGTTTTCAGTGAAAAAGGGGGTGAAGGGAGCCATGAGCTTGCAGAGCGTCAGCAGCACATCAAAGAGACTTGACAAGGCATACTGACAGTCATCGCCACTCGCACGGCCCTGTGTCAAGAGCAAAACACAGGAAACCGCTTCAGCATCACAAAAATGCTGCCTGCTGCTTGCCATATGCAATTAAGAGGCAACAGAGATGTTAGAAGCAACAGGTGATGGGGGCAGATGAAGTGCTGTTCGCAGACCGTGGAATCAGCAGTTGCAGAACAATGCACAATTCTCCATTGCAAAGCACGCTGGCACTCCAGCAAACAGATATTCATCAAGAGCCTTGAAGGCTGCAGTCCTGAAAAGACGTGCAAACTTTATGGCCCTCAGCTGAAAATGTCTGGTCGACTCCTTCACTGTCTATTTTGTGGCGAATTGCAATGGCAGAGTGTCATAAAGCACTGCCATGCCCTTTTTGCTACATTTAGTCAACAAAAATGTCAAACCTATCCCATGCAACGTGCGCAGTGGCTTGTCTTATTTAGAAGAATTCTCTTGGTACCAATGCAGGTCAAGTGCTGCTCCAGAGACCAACAAATAATGATAATGATAGAGATACAGATAATAAAGGTACATGATATGAAACAAGAGGTGGAATAAGAAAAACATGGAGGCAATGACAAAGATACCCATGTCTAGCAATCAATGCCCTGAAGGGGAAACAGGCATTTCACTTAGGAAAGTCCTTCATATGATGTGATGCCCACCTTTAGCCTTTTTCTGTTGTACCGCACATACACATTTGTCAAATTCTCAATGAACTTGACTAGGTATGGCACAACAGTGTACAGCCTGTATGCCTCCATTTCCCGGCGGAAGAAGGTGACCAGCGCACGGGTTGATGCACAGATCCAACGATCTAGCACATTGGATGCCTTGTCCAGGTCAACCTGGGATTGCAAACACAACATCTATTCTCACCGCCTGTGCAGTGCAATTACCAATAAAGCAAACCTCCTCACCAGCAGACTCTGTGTGACTCCTGTGCTGCATGTGTGACGTTCTAATGGTTCAATTCCATGTCATTTGCAAAGCATCAATGACATCCAAGTGGTGCTGCATCTGAGCTCATCATTTGGTGCAGTAGCTGATGATCCCAAAACATGCCACAATCTACTCCATGACATGACTAAATCGAAGCTTGTGGGAAAAAAGGTACAGTGCTAACCTTAAATGTTCACCAAGTTCTTCAAAGGTTTCAAATGACACGCCCACCCTGTGCGATTGTCTGTAACTAATAGCATGACTAATTCAACGGCATCAAATGGGCAGTACCATTACAGTGCAGAAGCCATGTCATTGCTCAAATGAAGACATGGACCACTTCATGCTCCGAATGGGGCAGACAAACAAGCACTCTGGGACACATTCTTTGATGGCATCGGGCCAACCACCACCTTGTAATGTTCCTGAGGACCTCAGTGTCCTGGTGACCTTTCTGCTCTGAGTCAGCCAGAAGTAGGACACACAGGCAAGAGAAGCCCTGGGGGAGAAGCAGACTTAGGGGCTGCAACATTCTGGGATGTGTACCTCTCATTTGCTGGGTGTAAAGAAATTTTCTTGTCAAGGCTGTGGGCAAATCCTGGATTTCAACTTTCCTTTTCTTTGGACACTGTGTGTGTGCAGTGCGGATGCCTGGCGAACAGATTAAATGAGTGGATGAAAGACAAAATGAAGTTCTTGGATGTACATATGCCTGTAATTGCCTGCAAATTGCGAGGACCCTGCGTTGTCTTTTGAAGGCAAATCTATACTGTGGAAAGTAGTCTTGAAAGGCCGTGGCAGCCCTGATGCCATTAACAAAGGGGGCGCTTTGTCAGCTTTGACCCAACACAAAGAACAAATTTGCAAACCCAGTTTCAACCAGCACAGTTTTGCACAGGAAAACTAATGCCAGCTGTAAACTTGTGCCACAAGTTAGCCAACTGGGGAGTGCCAACATTCTGTGGAAGTTGGCATCTGCAATGGGACTCACCTTTGAGGGGTCAAACTTCTGGCCAGACTCCATTTCCCATCTCAGCACATTCTGCACCAGAAACCTGTATGCATTGTACCACGGGAGGAACACGTCTTTCACAACGCCAAACACCCCCTCCTCCTTGAACTTCAGCTCCTCTGCTCTCACGACAGGCGAGTTGATGAGATACAGGCGCAGGGCGTCGGCGCCATACTTATTCACCAACTCCACAGGATCCTGCAAGTGAATGAACTTGCAAATGAGGTATGAACACACTGTCCTTTGCAAAAGGAATTGCAGAACACAGAATAGAAGGAATGCATTCTTAAGAAACAAAAAACACTAACAAAAGATTAGAATCTCCTGATGTGCTTTGACAACCAGACAATTCTGTGTGTCACATAGACTTCGAGTCAGCATGCAAGATACACTTGTGTGAGACACGTCTAGAAGTACAGAACAACTCCTGGCAAAATCAATCACCTTAAGCAAAAACCCAATCCCAACAGCACAGGTTATCGCATTGGTCGCTGAGTATGAAACCAGCTGCCAAGAAAGAATGGCAGGAACATCGGAGCACCAAGATATTGGAAACAATTGTTTATGCCCCTTTGACTCTGCATGAAGAAAAATGAATCCAAAAATTCACCACCCACAATGAATTTGACCCCAATCTCCACAACAGGTGAGCGGCAAATAAACCTTCCATGGCATCAACACTGATGCAAGAGTCCAGAAATACAAGTAGTCCAATTTGTAACTAACGATACAACCAGCCTGCACAGACAAAGGGAGCACTGATTGATGTTCAAGAGGAGCACCGCAGAAAAGGGCACTGCAATTTCTCCTCCTAGGCAACAAGACAACACCAATTCCCCAAATTGGGCAGCAGCACCATAGTTGCCAGCCTTTTCTGTGGCACTGGACATACAGCTAGGAATCACACCACCTGTGGCCACATCCACAGCAAAACCCTTTCAGCAAGGGCAATCGCTATGAGTGGTTCTCACCGTGAGAATTTCTCACCGGATAGTTCTTCAATCTCTTGCTCATCTTGACGCCATTTGCTGCCAGAACCAGTCCGTTGCAGACCAGGTTCTTGAAGGGTGGCTTGTTGAATAGGGCAGTTGATAGAACCATGAGTGTGTAAAACCAGCCACGTGTCTGATCCAGCCTGGCCACAGCAGCAACAGAAGAACTATCTTTAGGCTGGAGGGAAGTTTTAGGCGGCGTTGACATGAACACTCTGTTCTGCACCTAGCATTTGATATATTCCCAGTTGCCTTATCTTCCTAGTCTTTGTTCCCAGTTTGTTCCAGTTTATTTCTTTTCTTTGCAGGTAAAATCTATCAAGTGCATAACATACACCCAGCACTACCTTGAGATGCATTGGAAAGAGCACATTACTTGCACAAGGACTCTTGTTTAAACAAAAACAAAAACTATTTGCAGATTAATCTGGTACATTGCAATGGCAACCAAAAGCTGGAAGGTGCGAAAAGACCCAAACATCTTCAGTTGGGAGGGGTGTAGCAGCTGACACACATCCCAAAGTGACTTTATTGCACTGCACTCTCTCCAGATGGAAGACGGTGCTATCAATGGAAGTCTGTCAAATGCTGCTGCCATTTTGCAAAACTCGCTTGCATGGTGGATCAACCAAATACGGCAAGCATTGATGTCATGGGACTATGAAGCCCATGGTAGTTTTGAAAGCATCTCCCAATAGCCAACAAGCACTGATGACAAGCAGGCAAAGTGTGCAACACTCGGTTCCAGACAATGAGCTGCCAGCATACCCCTCAGCAATAAAGTCTGCTGGAAAGTTGTTCTCAAAGAGCTCCTTGTTCTCAAATGGATAATGCAGTTGGGCGTAAGGCATGCTGCCACTCTCAAACCAGCAGTCAAACACATCGTCCACACGTCTCAAATCGCCTTTGCCCAATTTTGAGGGAATCGTCAGGTCATCGATGAAGTGGCGATGGAGGTCTGTTACCTTCAGTACCACAAGAAACAAAGAGGACATCGGCAACATTCGATCACAATATTGTGCGGCTACAGGCGCTGCTCCAAACACCTGCCATTTGTGCACAACTTTCAATGCAGGCAATAACAAAGGGGCTACTCGGGCAAACAACAGATTCCAGAATTTTAGGCTATGTTGGGTATTCAGCACACCAACAATCAATTGACATACGTGCTACCTGCTGAACAGGAACAGCCACAACACTTGTTAGAAGTACTCCAAAAAAGCTGTGGCGATGATGAGCGTGACTGAATCGCCAAATTTCTTTGCATTCGAACAACGCCTGACATCGCCCACAGGTGAATACGCAGTTGCTTATCATATTGTGGTGATACTTCTGTCACATTCTGAGAGCAACCAATCCAGAATCACAATGAGGCAAGCAGCCCTGGAGCAGTCATTCCCTTCACAGATTGCAACTGAAGTGCTTGCCAACAAAAAGCATTGTATCCTGCTTGTTGCAAGGCTAACCTTCCCTCCTTCCATCGTGGTAGGCATTTGAAGGACAAATTTTACTTTGACATCGCACGCACCTGCTGCAATAAGTCGACATGAACTACCTTATAGTGAAAGCGAATGGCGGATGCTGTGCCAAGTGTTAGCAAGTGCAGTGAGCAATACATGTGACTCACCTTCCCTCCAGACAACTCCTCAAGCTCCCTTGCCGATCCTACAACCACGATCTCCTCACCGTCATCGCTCATCCAGATTGGCAATGGCGTGCCCCAAAATCGGCTGCGTGACACTGCCCAGTCTCTGGCGTTCTCGAGCCAGTTGTGGAACCTCTTTTCTTTCACATATGCAGGCACCCAGTACGTCTTCTTGTTGTTTTCCAGCAGGTTCTCCTTGAAGCTCTCAACCTTCACAAACCAGCTAGGTACAGCCTGAAGCAGTGGGCACAGCCTGTTTAGCAGCCCATGTGCCAACCATGCCACAAAAAACTGCATTGAGTTATCCTCAAAGAACAACAGAAAGGAGAGAAAATGATGAAATCCAAGTCAAGCATGGAATGCAGGAATGCATTCTTGCAGCAATGCAAGAACGGCGCATTGGTCATGGCATGTGTCTCCCGTGACTTCAGATAGCAGACAAGAGCATTGCCAGCAGCATTGCCAGCAGCCCGTGGTTGAGAATAAATGGAGAACTGTGTTGTTTTGTTGTAGTTACCTTGTATATCAGTGGTGTCTCAGAACGCCAGCAAAATGGGTATGAATGAGAAATTGTCTGGTGGCTGATGAGTCGCCCCATGCCCTTGATGGCCTTCATGACCTCCTTGTCGGCGTCTTTGACATACCTGCAAAGTCGAACAGGTAGATGTTAGGCACAATCCCAGCGTGCAAACCATGTTTTGTACTTTACAATGAAAGTAGTTTCCAACAGGACATTGCAGCTATGTGCAAGGTTCTTGCAGTGGCTTGCAATGTGCATGCACACACCAGCTTCAGCAAAGATAGTATGTCAGCCCATTTGCGCACACAGGCACACCCTAGCAAGCTAAGTCAACCACATTACACACTCTGACATTGATTGATCCCAAACAAGCTAGCCAGATTTCTCATGCAAGTGCAACAAGTATGTGTTGTCATTGCTGATCGATTGCAAGCTGCTCATGAACTTTTTATGAACATTGTGGCACACAGTGACAGTATAGACAAAAGTTTGTATGACATAAGCCTATCAGAGAGCTACATTTTGTTGGGGTCCACACTGCTGCACCAGAGGGAAGTACCCAAACCCATTTGTGCTCATCCTGAGGCATGGAACCAAAATCATACAAACAGCCAAGCCCGACACAAAAGATCTTCAAGGTTAAGTGCCAATATGGTTCAATGACCTGTGTGGTGAACGTACATGCCACTGAAGTCCGACGCTTCTTCTGTGAAACACCCACTCGCATCCACAGGACACGGCAGAGGCTGCCCTTTCTGAACAACTCCATTTGCCAGGCACACACGGAAGTCATCCTCTCCAAATGCGGGCGCCTGGTGCACAACGCCTGTGCCAGAGTCGCTCGTGACATAGCCATCTGCAACAACGCGGAATGCTCCACTCTCCTTCAGGTGACAGAAGAAGGGAAACAGTGGAGCATACTTGAGGCCCACGAGGTCGGTTCCCTTCATCTTCTGGATGACCGAGAAGCCAGCTGGCTGGGGGCCCTTCTTCTTCCCTTTCTGGGGTTTGGGCACTGCGCCTGGAATCTCGGATAGCCTGCTCTCTGCAACAATGTACTGATCGCCTGTCTCAGGATTTTTCACCTGACAGTGTTGCAGCAAACACACAGTGGTAAAGTGAATATTCGTCAATGAGGACAACCATAACAGGGACATTCATAGGGGAGAAGGAGGGCAGATCGACAGGTATGTCCAATTTTAGGTTACAGGAGCACGATCAGCATGGACAAGGAAAGCCATATCACCATTTACTGTACCCCAAAGTGAACAGAATGTGTAGTCTGTGACATATAGCTCATAGCTTGTCAAACAACAAGTAATAGGTGGCTGGGGAGCAACACAATCAACAAGGAGGTATGCTTTAGATTCCAAAATATTGCATCATATCTAAATATGCAAGCTCCACATTAAGAAAGTCGATGCTGTGCTACGCACCTCCTCTCACAAATACTATTGTGAACAAGGTTGCTGCTGCATTTGCAGCCTTACAACACAAAAACAACAACAACATCCTTACAACTTTTCCCTCTATGCACAGACCCTGCCACTTCCTACCTTGACATAGTCAAATTGAGGATTGACACACAGTGCCAAATTGCTTGGGAGCGTCCAGGGTGTGGTGGTCCAGGCAATGAAGGATGTGCCTTCCAAGTCATCGTCGATGGGAAAACTCACCTGAAAAATACAACCAGTGCAAATTCTCCCTCAAAACAGAACGATGCCAAAAAAACTCCAGAAAGGGGACATGGACAAACAGCTGTGGATTAGGCACCTCGCTGTTACACCTCAGTACATCAGTCGACTGACAGAGACAATTTAGTGTCAGTGTTTGCACACACATAAAATGGTGCCCAAGCACCACCAAAAGTCTTTTGGGACCTGAACATGAGCATTCTGTCCAAGTCTTGCTGAAGTACAACATTACCTGGGTTGTCCATCTGTCACTAGATGTCACAACATCTGCAATGCATGCAATATGCTACATAACAGGTATTGTCAAATGGAAATGAAATCGACAAATTGGGTCCTAGTCCCCTTTTCAGTGGGAGCAAAACGCTCCAAAATCCTCAACATGGTGACAAGTTGAGCCGCAATTACCTGGAATCAGTGCCTGTATATTGGGCCACCATATTTTGTGAATTGTTGTCTACTAACACCAGCTCATTGATACAAACATGGTTTGTACCCTTGAATTAATGAGCCGACATGGAACATCTTGGACCCACTGAAAATGGCAACATCAAGCTAGCAACAACACAAAACGCATTCTGGAGGGGCAGTGACATTGTCCGAGGGCAGTTACATAACCAATACAAGTTTAAAGTTACTAAAAACACGACATTCAAAGCTCCACATTGCCATCCATGGTGCCGGCCAGGGCATTTTGCCGCTCATCTCACGCCCTCCCTACTTCTGTATATACCTTTCTCATGCTTCTGCGATGCTGGCCATGCACTTGATCCCAACTTATCCCATGTTCCTACCTGCTTCCCAAGCACTTCCAACTGGCCAGCAAACAACAGCCTGATCTGTGCCACCGTTCATAGCGAAAGCTGTGAGGCTTGCAGTCCAGGGGCACGCATCAGTTTGGCACCACAAGACGAATTATTTCATGCACATACAAGCAACACGTCATAGATACAGAAATGATTTGAACCCTTGGACACATAGGGGACACATAGTGAAAGGGTGTGGAACCAACCCTGGATTAAAACGGTACAAGAAGGTGCCATACCGACCATGACAGAAGGGTCTTGCACATCCTTGTAGTTCAGACCGGCCTCAAAGTTGGAGAGTGGCGTACTGCACCCCGTGGAGTATGCCATTACCTGTACATCACACCAAGTTGCAGGGTGGCTGTTGCAGCAGCATTCTCACTGTGAAATTCTTTTGAATCATCCATTGAGACAACATAGCATGGTGTCCCTTTGCCCAAGTAATGAAGAGCGGCTTACATCATCACACAAGAAAGAATTGCAGATCTGCACACTTCCCATAGAATCCTGTTGGAAGCATTGGCAAAGAGTGTTGGGAACACTGACTGCAGCCGACGATGTTCTTTAGAGTGCTGTGCCTGCTATAGAGAGTTGCCTGTGTGGAACCCTATTAGAAGCAGATGGGAGACTCCACTGCCAAGATTTGACTGTGGCCGCAGCTGTTGAATCATTGGCAGCCAACATTGCGATGTCCCACACTGCCTACAGGGGCCATTGTTTGGCCTTGGAAAGATGAATGTGATTGAAATAGGTTTCCAGCCTGCTTGTGATCCATGTCAACTTGGCGATTGCAATTCAGAAAAACTGGCATGCATTGTCTGCATACATCATCTTCACTCAACGAATTTTGTTGCAAATGCATCGCAAGGCATCGCCATTGCCCAACTGCACTGCCAAAGGAATCAGAACCGAAATTGATGTGCAATCGTCAGTTGGGCAATGCAGAGTCGACAATCTGTTCTTGATCAACATCACTCACCTTGGAGCCTTTGTAGACCAAACCACGCTCATACAGCTGCTTGAACACCCACCAGACACTCTCCATGAATGAAGGGTCCAAGGTTTTGTAGTCGTGCTTGAAATCAATCCACCTTCCTATCCGTGTCACAGTCTTCTCCCATTCTTTGGAGTACCTGAGACAACATGGGAAAGATATCCAAACCTCAAAAAGAGGAAGAATGAGGGACATCAAGAAGAATGCAGGTGGAAGTGAGCATTCAAGATACGATGACTGACTGGAACTGGAGTAGTTGGACCTATTACTCCTCACTAACATCCCTGCTGGTTAGCCACCCACAGAACAAATCGAAATGACTAATTGAAGTGATAAGAATCAAGGCAACGAACTGTGAGGTTGGCTGGTATGTGTGGTTGCATTGGTGATGTACTTGGTCCCATTTCGAGGAGCAGGCACACCACCTCAAAGCCATCAAATTACAAGCCACAACAAAGCCATCAACTTGCCAGACTACAGTGCCATGAATGCCAGATGATGTTGAAAATGACACACAGCATATCGATGCCATTTTCGGAGCGCGATGCTACCGTGCATGAGCTGGCATGACCTGAATGCCAGCGATACTGGCTATCATCCATTCCTCTTTTCGAGTCATTGGTGAATCAATGGTAAGCCATATGGCGTGACTTCCTTATGCTCAATGTGCTATGTAAAGAATATGAGTTCAGTACTGGCTGTCTCTTCCTGAGCAGGCCAAGCCCCTGGTTGCTGTTTACCTCATCACAATACTCCTGCACTCTTCATTGTAGTTTGCGATGCCATACTTCAGCACATCGTCCCGAGTTTTGATTCCTGCAGCACAGCACCGTGGCAAACATATGAACATCCGAGTGATTTGTGCACATGCTATGTACATGAGAATCCAAACACTAACGATAAAGCCCAAGAGGAGATCTTTTCTAGGCCGCTAGAAAATTCGCTGTTCGTCTGACGATCTGAACCAAGCAAAGAAACATTCTGTGACCAGCAATTTTTTCACACCACCGCAATGTGTACAGTGTATCAGAACGCAAGCAGAGAGGAGAAAATACAAAAGGCAAAGGCAAGCAAGATCCAAGCAAGCATGACTTTGTCCAGTCGCAGTGCCCCACATACCCAACCCCACATACCCAACTTCTTGTCGATCTCATACTCCACAGGGAGGCCGTGGCAGTCCCAACCAAAGCGCCTCGTCACATGATGCCCCGTCATCGACGCATAGCGCGTTACAATGTCCTGCCGAGCAAAGACCAGCAATCGGGATTGAAGCTGCAATTCCCTGTCCTCGACCACATTGCACAGGCCAACCAGCCAGAGACCGTTGCATCTCCATCCCCAAGCCAGAAAATCTCGAAAGGAGTCTCGACAGCATTGCCATACAGTCCAAAAGGCATGCTCTCCATGTTCTCCAGGCTCATCCTAAATCGCCCGACAACATCCCAACCGAAATCCTCAGATGGCCACACCCATCGACGATGTGGGTCCCATCGCGGCTCCATTCTCCAATGTTATGCCCGCAATGGGGCGCACCTTCAGCGTGCCCGCTAGGATGTGCCCATAGTGCGGCAGGCCGGTGGCGAACGGCGGCCCGTCGTAGAACACGTACTCCGGCTGGCCCTCCGTGCGGCGGAGCTGCTCGCGGAAGGCGTCGGTCTCCGTCCACAGCTGGAGGATCTTCTCCTCCTCCTTTGGAAAGCTGTAATCCTTGCCCTCCGCGGCGTCCTGCATTTTGGGACGGGCGCCCCGGCGCTGGAGCAGGGCTTGTCCCTCGGCGGGCGCGGAGAGGTGGGGGAGCGCAGGCAGGGAGGCTTGTGGGTTAAATAGGTCCCATGGTGAGGAAGGCGGCGGGAAGCTGGCGGGCAGCCGGGGTGAAGATTGGCTTTGGCAAAATGAAGGGAATATGACGCAATGGGCATCCCTCCCCTTGACGAGGAATTTCGGGACGCTTCGGCCACGCTGCGAAAGTGACGCAGTAGTTCTCAAGAGAGGGTTCAGGTTTTTGAATTTGTTCATTCCATTATTTTGTGTTTTTGAAGGTATAAATCCTGCAATTCGACCAGCCCCCTGAACTGAGTCTCCATCATTGACAACTCAAGAAAAAAAGACCATGTAAGTATGTGAAAGGAAGTTCTGCGTGGTCCTATTTCTCAATTGGAATGGTACAAGTACAGGAACAGACCCCCACTGCCACAAATGGAATCCGTCAAACAACCAAAAGACGACCTTGGCGGCAGGCTTGGTCTTTACATTAACGTTTACGTTTTTTGCGCAAAAACGCAAAATTTGCAGAAGGCGCTATTTTTGCGGCCACATTTACGTATTCTTACGGCTCGTCTGGAAACCCAGGTAACATAAAAGGGGAAGACGCTATTTTGATTTTGGTACGCTTATAATCAAATTGACGTTAAGCTCAGACCCACCTACCCACCCCCTCCCCCCCTACTTAACGCCAATACTTATTTCTATGGCAGGATGACTCAGCATCATTACCTAACAATGCCATACAACTTCAAGTTCTAAGGGAAAAAACTTCCAAAATTGTAGCGATTCGCGGTGATTTGAAGAATGGGATGTCAAAAGCGATGATGGGCGATGAGAGCAGCCCTAAAACCTAAAAATTTATCCATTTTACGGAATACCTGGAAGACTGAAAATTTGAGGGAGGTTTTGCCAGAAGTTATGAGCTATTTGCCACTGATCAGCTGCGTTTTTGTGCATCTTCCCACCTCAGTTTCATTTTTGTGCAATTACATAATCTCTTACATTTCAACGGCTGGACACCCCCCACCTTAACGTCAATTTGACGTTAAGTGTACCAAAATCAAAACAGTATCTTCCCTAAGTCGCAAGCAATGGTCAGCCCTCCGCCTCCTCGAGCACCCACAGCACAGCGGCAACCTCGCCCAAGGCAAAGAAGACGTGGTGGAACAGAAGGTTGTTTTTCTGCCCACCCTAAGGCGTCTGGCTACCCCTCCCCTAACGCCCTGGGCCTGCATGTACTGGCTCTCTATACATCGCGTCGAAATTTACGTACTATTAAGCGTTTCTACACGCAAAAACGTACATACCGTTTTTACGCATAAATACACGTAAGCACTCAATGCTTACACCGTAAAGACCAAGCCTGCGTGGCGGTTCAAGCGACAACACAGACTGGAAGGCACACGCGCCAAACAAGGTAAGATTTTGAGTTTGTCGTGCACGGTGCGAGCTGGAAAGGATTTGGGCCCCCATTTTCACACGTCGCCTCGCCAGAGCACGACAGCCTGTTTCTTAAATGCCGGGCCATTGGAGATGGTATCTGTGAGAGGCACTTTACTCATGTTCCAAACATTACGTCACATGTGGTTGATGGGCCGCGGAGTGCCTTACTTTGCATGGACACCATGTACCGCAATCTGCTCCGCTGTCACACAATGCAAGCACATTCCACGGCCCCATTCAAAGGCACGTTCACGGCCCCGCCAGGGTCGGACCTCAACACGTCACAATCGACATTATTCGATTGCAGAGCGGCTTTGGAACACGAGCATGTTACAGCTCGTCACATTTTCGCCCTGCCTCATCGGCTTTCAGTTGCACGTCCAGGTCGTTATAGGCCGCAAAACCCACAGTGTCTTCCAGCTGGGCAGCTGCCTCCATTGCATCTGCCACGCCTTGAGTTGATGCAATCTTGGCACCTTGAACACCATGACCACTGCAACTGTTCAGCACGTTCTTTTCTGGCCGAGGGGGATCGCGTTCCGTCCGTGGCTTTGTTTTGTCATCGTACTTGCCATCGCCATCAACCAAAGGCACACCTTCATGTTGTTCAACTGAATCCAGACCAGCACTGCCATGTTGGCTCATCTGAGCTGAGGGCCGCACCTCTTCAGCACAATCTGTGGTTGAAGGTTGGCTGCAGGTGCCGCCTGCTGGAATTCTGGATGCTGTCCTCACTGGAATTTTGGGGCCATCCTTGCTGTTTTGATCCCCCGCTGCAGCTCCAACCAGGAGCACGTGGCCCTCATGGCTGACACCTGACAGGACATAGGCGCCCTCTGAAATGCGACCTTTCCCCATGGTCGCTGTGTCAGTTTTCTTCCAGTCCACCTCAGGTTCCCTGCCAATCCTGAATTCGTTTTCGTTTTCATTCTGTGGTGCCGCCGAGTCCCCCACACCGCCACTGGCATCATTAATCGCGGCTCCCGCAGTTCCTGGAAGTGGATCCCTTGCACTTTTGTGTCCAGCCACCAGACTGTCAGCTGCTTCCCAGGCTGGTTCCGACCTCTGCATACCATTCGATTTAGGTGCATGCATGTCAAGGTCTTGTCGCGTCTGATTCTGTACCCCATGCAGCCCAGAACCCCATGATAGGCCCACGTTATTCTTGCGCTCATCAATTCTTGGATGCTCTGCCATGTCTGGCTTCGAGGTAGTGCCAGAGGTGCCCTTGTCTGTAGACTCTGGGCCAGACAAAGGGCGTTCTGTGCGATGACGAGGCGTCTTCATGTCCTCAGGTGTTCTGTTCTGAGCCACAGAGCTGCCCAGCTGCAAAGGCAGGTGAGAGATGGCAGACAGCACGTACCAAACCGGGTTTGTGACTTGACCTCCCTCCAACCCGGGTGTGAGGCCCAACACCCTGTTCTGATTGTACAGCGTGACAAAATACAGAGCGGCAATGGTAAGGAGCAGCCCTGCGCCCCACAGAACAAGTTTCTCAAGGACACCATGCGATGGAATGGATTTTGACTTTGTGAGTAGTCCCCGATGTGATTGCAACTCTCTTTGCACCTTTGGTTGATCTCCAGTCCTGGCATCTGAAGAGAAAGGTGCACAATGCAGGACAAGTCAGGACTAGCAGCACACAGGAAAAACAGCTGCTGGCATTCTGCGTCCCTAGAAGGACTAGTGACCCCAATCTTGCCTCCTGAAAATGGCATTGCTGCTGCTCTCAGATTCTGGGACCCTTTTCTGCAGGAACATGGGAACTCAGGTAGCGGCTGACGTGAGCCCTTCATGAGGCCAACAGCTCATGCTGCACCTGCTTGGAAACAAACACAGGAGTGGCAAATGCAGACACTCTTGAACGTTGCCATGTTGCAGCACTTCAACTGTGCAAAAATCTGCCAGACCAGTTGAGTATGTTCAGCTACTTGAGTCATTGCACTTCCTTTGAATGTGAGTGGCTAAATTGCAACGGATTTTGTTGATTCGAGAACATAAAAATACAATGGACTGTCAGATGGAGGCGCCACCCTAAGAATTTGCTGTGTCCATGCAAAAACTCTTTATCCATTGCCATCCCATGAAACCATCTCTTGTGCAAAACAGAGGCATGCAACATGCACAGTGCACACCGTGGCGATTGCTTACCAATCACCTCCAGTGAACTGCCTTTGTGGTCAACTTGTGATGCCATCGGTTCCATCTTGTGCCCCAAGCTTTCTGTTGTGTCTTGTGCACTTCCATCAGCATCTTGCTTGTTTCTGACTGTTTGGGATACTGTGTCGGATTCCCCAAGCCCCAGCAGTGCCTTGCGCTGAAGGCATGCACAAACACCATGATTGAAACGAGCAGCACTGCTCCTTCAGCATCGTGAAGAGCTGGCCACCAAACAGACCAAGCATCGTCAATGCGGTCTGCAGACGTTGCATTGCCCTTTACTTCCATCTTCTTTTTGGTGGCACAAGGCCCACACCTGCCAGCAGGGATGGGGGTCGCGCAAGGACTCTTAAACGTGATGTTATCTTTTGGAATAGAAATTAGGGCTCAGCTTGCCCCGGAAAGGTGAAAGTCTTCACAATGGCAGCATGCCATGAAAGTTATGCAAAACTTGCAAACCCTGTGAGCTGGAAACTCAACTCTGCAAAAGACATGTCTGGATGTTGCCTGTCCTGCAAGGTTGACTTGCACAGCCTAGGCCTCACCTGTGACCAAGCTGCCCGCGATTTTTTCTGTGCTTGGGATATTGTGGCTTCGAAGGAGAGACATAGCCTGCAAATGTCACCACAAAAGCAAAACTGGCTGTGCAATGGTCAACCATTCTCTTTGCACTGCACTGACAAAACCAATTGAGAATAACACATCCCCACAGCATGCAATACCTCACCATGGAAAAACCGTAAAGTTTTGAGCCCATCACTGGGGAGCACACAGGCATTTCGAAACAGTGCCGTTCAGAACTGTACAGGCGGTTGCCTCTGAGTACATTCAATTCCATGCACAGGGTGGTCAGCCCAGTCCTAAGGACTCCAGGAGTAGAAAGAACGATGGCGTTGATCTAAGATGGTCTCACATATTCCAGAGGACAATCTTTGCCATCTTGCAGGATTTTCGCCTACCTCTCATATTTTGTATTGTGTTCTTTTAGCCACAGGGCCACCTGTGCTGATCCCTCCTCCCTAGAATCATATGGCACCAAACAGTCAGCCAGTCAACTCAGATATCGTTTTGGCTGACAATGCAGTTCCCACTGAGAGTGAAACGCACCCGACATACGCACGTGCCGCATGCCCACAAAGACCACACCTTGGCGTCACAGCGATGTACAGCATCCCCAACGTAACTTGACGCCCATTCGATGCAAATGACACATTCGACGGTTCCAAATCTCTGAGCGCCGTCGGCGCTCCCGCTACATCGTGCAGGAGTGGGCGGAGGAGCACACTGTCCAACGATGTTGCGGAAGGATAAACGTGCATGCGCACATGTGCATTTTCTTGCAAGCCATGAGCTGGCGCTCCAACAAGTCAGCCACGCATCGAAGGCGCGCTCACGTCTCCTGCCCATCGGCACACAGCTCCAGCTCCCGCAGGCAGTCGAGCATTCCCTCCAAGTCCTGTTCCACCCTGCCCGACAATCCTTCGCTGTCGCCCTCCTCGTCCGACGCCCGAAGGTAGGCGAGGCTGTCAATTAGCGTCGACGCATCCCTCTGAAGGGAGGCAAGCCGGGCCTGCAGTCTGGCTGCCTCTTTCCCCGCCGCTGCGGCCTGCGCCATGTTGCCTTGCGCGATCGCGCTCGGTGCTGCTGAAACACTCTCCAAGTCTTGGACACACACACACACACACACACACACTGCTGTACAGTGCTTGTGCATACTGACTCAGTACTGCTGGTTTGTGCCCTGCAGGCCCCAGCAAAACAGTGGGGCCTTGTCGAACAGAGAGCTGACTCCCGGCTATCGCGACAGGCTAATTTTGCCCCGCAGAATCTTCTGGCGGAATTAACTAACCTAAGAAATAAGCAACTTATGAAAAAAGAGAGTTAAGTAATTAGGAAGCTTGGAATGGTGTTTTCACAAGTATTGCTGCCAAAATACGCCACCGATCCGCGGCAAGGCCTGGCGAAACACCCCGAGAACACTCCGATGATCGGTGCTATCAGCCACCCACACCTCCGATACGACCCGATGCCTTCCCCCGCTTTCACCGCGGCACACTCGGGGCGCACACACATGAACAGGCAAAAACAAGATAAGAAATCAGTTAATGGGCCAAAAAACTGTAGCTATCGAGCAAAAAGGAAACGAAAACGTTTGTATGTAGCAAAAAGGGGAAAAACCGTATTTGTCGGGCCAAAGAGAGGACAAAAAGGTGTGCATGTATGTGCAGGATGGGCGTCCAGTCTCGCCGCTTGGGCGCCCTGCCCCGCCATGGAGTACGTCACCCCGGAGGGCCTGCGCACCGACGGCCGGCGCCCGCGCGAGCTGCGCAAGCTGGGCTGCCAGCTGGGCACTCTCGAGAGCGCCGACGGCTCCGCGACGTGCGAAATGGGCTTCACCAAAGTGCTGGCGGCCGTTTTTGGGCCTCGAGACACCGCCGGCAAGCTGCACCCCGACCGCGCGGTGGTGCGTTGCCAGGTGGCCACGGCGCCCTTCAGTGCGGGTGAAAGGAGGCGGCGGGGAAAGCGTGGGCCTCTGGCCACGGAGCAGGCGGCCACCATACGGGAGACGCTAGCGGAGAACATCCACCTGGAGCTGCTGCCGCGCACGCAGATCGACCTGTACTTCCACGTTCTGCAGGCAAGGGGGTTTGTTGATTTAAACCCTGTCGTTTTCGTGCTTTGGCGCTGGGTTTTAGGTGCGCCGATGAGTGGTAAGTCGACCTGTATTTTCACGGGCTCCAGGCAAGGGTGGGGGATCGCTGATCAAAGCCCCTTTGTTTTGAAGGATTTGGGCCGGGTTTTAAGTGCACTGATGGGTGGCAAGACGACCTGTGTTCCCGCGTGCTGCAGCAAAGGGCGGGGGAACGTTGATTGCCAGATCTTTTGATCATGCTGCAGTCCTTTTGACGGACTGGGATTGGGTTGTGAGTGCACTGGTAAAGTCAAAGTCATACAAGTGGGGTTAAAAGCAGCTTGGGCAATGCACGAGAGGACCAAGCGGGGGGTTGGATGCTGGCAAGGAGATCTTCTCCAGGGGAGTGCGATGTTGGTCATGCACACATTCACAGTGTGTTGCTCCACCTGTTTGCACACGGATCTTTGTCCACTCTTTTTGTCCACCCGCACAGAGTACAAACGACCATCAAAAGTGCCGGAAACTGGTGATCAGCATATAGCGTCTCAATCAGGTAATTCTGCGACTGTTCCACTGGGGGGTTGATCTTGGGTGATCGAAGTCGCATCCGGCGTCACTGGATCCGGATCTGAATGCCTGGAGCAAGCCAGGAATGTGGCAATGGGCATGTGGGCGCATTACACAAGAAAAAGGGAGTATGGAGGTCTCGAGCCAAAGGTGCCTGCAGCAAAAACAGGAACCCTCAAAACGAAATTGCGAATCACCTGCAGGTAACTGATGCAAAAGGCAAGTATAAGAACTCCGGCAATGCGTCGCTCCATTCCATGCGGGCCTTCCCATAGTTTTCATAGTTCACCATTGCATTTCAGCAAGTACTATCTTGCATATATTGCAGGCGGACGGCGGCATTCTCTCGACTTGCCTGAACGCTGGAATGCTGGCACTGGCCGATGCTGGCATCCCACTGAAGGACCTGGTGGGGTCGTGCACTGTGGGCTACCTTGAGAGCACACCACTGCTGGACCTGAACTACATCGAGGAGAGTGGCGGTGGGCCCCTGCTTCCCATGGCTTACCAGCCCAACATGGACAAGATACTGATGCTGCAGATGGACAAGGGCAAGCTGCCCGTGGAGACATTTGAAGTGCTGGCAACGCTGGCCACAGAGGGCTGCCGTGCAGTTACGGGGCAGATCAGGCAGAGCCTCATGAACCACACCAAGCAGCTGGCAGTGGCCAGGGGGTCTGTGTAGGGTGGCAAGTGCATCTTGAGTGGATGCAGCAAGTGTAGTTCACAACATTCAGGCCCTTTGGAGCGATGGGGCTCTGTAGGGCTGCACAGCTGGCATCTTGGCAAGCTGAACAGCACAACCCCATACAGAATGATGTGCAAGGTATGTACCCCCTGTGGCTGAGCTGGAGTTTCACTACAGCCTCAGGGTGCAGCCCTCCTGGCATGTACTCTCGAGGTGGCGATGCTTCCACATTCATAGAACAAAGGGCATCCTTTGATGGATTTCGATGGAGGCTTGCTGCCAATGCGAACAATATCTGACTGGCAGCTGGTGGAGCTCACCATCATGAGCCCATCACTGAACACTTCTGATCAACACAAAGCTCCAGCGCCCCCCCAAGTTATGGCCCATGGAACCCTGCACTGCAGGCAGTGAGCTGGGGCAATTGGTTAGTGGATTCGTTGAAAGCCATACAGCTCACTGCAATGCAGCACATCTAAGCAACAGCAGTGTTTAAGGGGAGAAGATTGGCGGCCACCAAGGAGGTCACAGAAGGAGAATGAAGCCAGTGCACTGCTGATTGCCCACCTTTTGGCTACTTTCTTCCTTCCCTGGATCTGCAGCAGCGGACGTATGTCAACTCGAGATTTGCTGGGAGGGGCCTTCAGCTGCCTATGCACATGCAGCTTTCTGCTTGGCTATTCATTGGCAGGACCAAGAGCCATGTCCAGAAGCGGCCATGGGCAGTGCCTGTCTCCTGGTGGGACATATCTTAGTTTCGGGCAGGACAGTGAGCGAACGTGCAGGACATTTTGGCCAACTAATATGTTGCTTTGGGCCCATGTGAAGCAGCAGCTCGTGGCAGTGACTTAGGTGTATCTGTTGGGCTGAACTTGCAGGAGCAATACGACAGCTGGGGCTTTGGCAGGTCTCCCCAGAGAAAGTCGTATTTGGAGTTGTCCAGATTCTGTTTGTGGAAAGCCGCTGCCATGTTGTGTGGCCTGGACGTCTGTGGGAGAGAAGGCTGTGCAGTAGACATCCCAATTGACGAGGGCAACGAAGCAGCCACCGACTCTGCTGCTTGAGCGCCATTCTCCAGTTCGTGCTACAGTGTTTCTTGGCATAGTAGTTTACCCAGCAGTTAATGTATCCTGAACCCCAATCCAGGCCTGCTAGATGCAATAGAGATGCGGAAGAAATGCTACTTTTGAGGTGAATCGTCTTCCATCCCAGTGCTGAATGATGTCCTTTTGCGGACCTTCTTAGTGCAACAATCGCAGCTTCTTTCCTGTTATACAGGTGGCACGGACTTGCACATTGCACGCAGCCCCGAGACCCCCAACTGCACTGTGCGCTGTTCCAGGAAACTGGGTCTGAGATTGTGTTGTGCCGCATCCCCGCCAGAGTCCAAACACGCAAACAGACAACCGGGCCATCCCCATTGATAGTTACACTGGAATTTGCGGGCTGCTCGGCAACATGAGGGCATTGCATTCAGCCACACAAGCAAAGCTCAACAGCCCCCGTCTACGTGGTCCTCAAGCGTTCCTCCACGCCTGTTATCTCTTCCAAGAGCTTCGACAGTGTCTTGTAGCTGTCGCTATCCTCGTATGCCTCCCTCCCTTGCTTGACGACACCCTTGAGCTGCATCCGCATCGATGCCAAATCCTGGACGCTGACTGGTGCCATGGGCAGTGCGCTGTCTGATCGTTGGCCACGGGAGCCCTGGGTCATCCCTTGGCCTCCCGGCTCTGGCTGCTCACTGCACGCAGCCCCTGGCGAGGGAGTGGCTCGACCGGATTCGAGGTAGTCACGGCAAAGGTCGGCCATTGCAGATGCCAGTTCTTCGAATCGGCTCTGGTCATGCCGCCACTGCGATCCCTTGCGTTGCCGCACAGGTGCACAAGGATCAGTCAAGAGCCACGTGAAGTACATTACTGTAAGATACTCAACCCTTCTGCATCAAAGATGTTACCGTTGCGGTCATTGCTCCGCATGTCTGGCATCAGGGCGCTGTTAAATCTTCCGTTGCTCTGCAATAATTTTGTCAAAAAATTTTCCGCAAAAACAGGCCAAGTCTTGCGTTGCTATGCGGAAGGGTTTCACAAATACGGTATGCAAGTTCGGTGACATGGGCATCACAAGCGCTATGCACACCACCCTTTCAGAAACCGTGTACTATTGTTTTTTAAGCCCTTCCGCATAGCAACGTAACGCTTGGCCTTCTTTTGCAGAGAAAACAATAAACAAATACGTTCTTTTGACAAAATTTGCGCGTAGGCATGTAAAGAAATATAAAACCGACGCTCCATAAAAAAAATGCGGAGCAAAAAGCATAACGGTGTAATTTTTCATGCGGAAGGGTTGAATATACTGCAGTAGTGGCCGGTATCCTCATTGTGCTGCCTCAAGCGTCCATGAAAGGCAACCGAGAGGACAGAGCTAGGGTGGTGGCAGCGAAGCAACAAAGCCATAAAGATAGCAACCGTTCCCCAAATACGACATCAAGATCGAAGCCCCGTCGTGTGGATATCAGAGCAGTGGCATCGAAGGTGCCAGATGTCAATACCTGCAGCTGCCGAACGCTCTTCAGCATGCACTCTCTGTGCTGACCGGGATCTCCGACCGCCCTGTGGTGCCGGGCATAGATGCGCCAAAGGTTTGGCGGGAAGGATGGAAGCCCTTTCACTGCACGCTCCAGCAACGCCCCAACAGTGGCCTTCAGGCCGGGCACTGCTGGAGGAAAGCACACTGAGCGTTCAGCGGACGGTCGCGTTTTCATCCGTGCACCAAGCGCATCATAAACGTGCGAGAAGTTCAATTCGGCAATAAAGAACAGTTTCAAAACACGATGACAAGGGGCAGCTGCCAAACCATAACTTCGCTGAAACAAGAACTTCACAACTCCGCTCCAAACAGATTCTCCCGGCGTCGACTCCAGCAATCGGCGGTGCATAGAAGTCCAGCATGGAGCAATCTCGTGATGGACATTCACACAAAGGGGCACACAGGGATTCGATTCGCATGCAACGTCACCATCTCCCAATCTACCTCACCCCACCCATATTCCGAGCCGCACATGAGGTTTCACTGCACTAAGACGCCGCTGCCGTTGTTGTTAGCACGCCATTGAAGTCCTTCAAGGTTCCTGAACCTTGATTGATTCAATGACTCCCTGCATCTGTCCAACAGACAAAATGCGTGGTTCCATCCACAAGGGAGGTTATGCGCAAAAACGTGCCCCTGGCCGCTATCTGCAATGTTGGAGCGACCACCTCGGCCGGCCAGCTCACCTTCCGATTCAGCTGCCGACTCCCGGTTCACCAATGCCTCCACCATCTCCAGCTTGAGGTGCTCAGCTCCGGTTAAATCCAGCACTTGGGTGAGTCCCCGAGCGGCTTGCATCCACTCGCCAGACTCTATCGAGGCCTGTCAAGGGCACCAAAATCATTGTCTCTATTGCGCTTTTTGCATGCACAGGACTATTTCTGACAAAAGAGTTGTGCGTCGAGCCATGTTTTTTTTTGCCAATGTCACGTTTGGGGTTTTGGAACCCAAGGTTGAGCCTGCAGAGACACAAATTAGCTCCACATTTGTCCAATTCAGAGGAGGCAAAATCAAACAGCTTCAGTTAACTGGCACACGTTCAGGTATGTTTAGGGTTGTCACGTCTTTTAGGGTTGACATGTGTTTTGCCAACACGTGTTTGACTCGACAACAACAAGCTCATGAGATGGAAGGCATCAGGCAGACATACCATGATGCTGCAGTATCTATTCGGAACTTCCGTTCTTTGGGGAATCGAATGGACGCTCTGTGGGGGAGACCAATTTGGCAAGGGCTAGAGGACACGTCCACCTGATTAGGGGCCAGACAGTGCTTTGGCTGACTTTTGTCCCACCTGGGCAAAGTTCTCCCACATCCGCCAGTTGTTCTTCTTGGCCTTGATAGCTTCCTTGAATGCCCAGACAGCACGAGTGGGTTTGCTGGCACGCATCCACAAAGCACCAAGGTTGTTCCAGGCTTCTCCATGGTCCGGGTCCAACTGTGCGCATCGCGTGAAGGCCTGGGCGAATGCAGAGTGCAACATTCAGCATCATGTCCAGCAATGATGGCACAGGCATGCCTGCACCCACTTTCAAGGTTCAGAAATTTGTGTCAACAGGGTGTGGCTGCAATCACTTGTGTTGCCAGACAACCTCTCTCCACGATTGTCTATACCATGGTGGTACATAAGCCTGTGAGGCATCCACCCAAAGTGACAAACAATTGGAAAAAGCGATCACAGAGGGCAGGTCCAGTACTACGGAACACAGTGAGCTCCAGCACACACACTGCTTGACATACACTGAGTAGTGAAACTATGCAAGCCCAGTCTGATGCCAAGGGCATGTGGCTGGGCGGCACATGCTCACCTCCAAGGAAGCATGTACTGGGTGGGACTTAAAAATGCTATCTGCCTTGAGTACATCCTCAGACTTCCTGTGGCCTATCAAATTATGAATGCAAGATGAAGCATGACAGCAGAACTCTACTGCTGCCTTTGTTGCAAAGATTGCCTAAAGGGCAGGCCGAACAGGAAAATTGCAAACCATCGATTGCAATCCATGCTAAGTCCCTCAAGAGGAATTGTACTTGTGTTTGCTACCAAAAATTTCAAATCGATTTAAACATCTGCACAATTCCCAATTGCAAACACGAGGCTAGTGTGCATAAAATCGCATCTTTTTCCATGTCTGCAGTTTCTGCTCTCCGCGATGCTGACAATGGGGTGCTCGTTGGTGCAACATGGCACTGACAATATAGCGTGCATGTTGTCAAGTCCATATTCCAGCTGTGTCCACCGCAGTCCCACAATGTCTATCACAGTCAAGAGCCATGGCATGGCAACTTTAGAGCTGCATATCGTCCACATTGACGTGGCCACACCTTCAAGGCTCCCCTGTCGTAATTCCTCTTGAGGTAGCAGTACCCAAGGGAGAACCATGCATCTGGAAACAGAGGACTGATTGCCAGGGCCGTCTCAAAGCACTCAGCAGCAGCCACAAAGTCCTTCCTGCCCAATGCACTCCGAGCCAGGGACCTCTGTGCTCGAGCATAGTGCTGCCCAGACCGGTCCCATGCCATTCTGTAGCACTCATCATCGTGTTTTAGATCGCCAAGGGCGCACCAAAGCCTTGGGTTGTTCGGGTCTTCTTTGAGCCTCGCTGCGATGAGATCCCCAGCCTGTGCATCCTTGCCAAGCAATTGATAGCACGTAATCAGGTTGTCCCACATTTCCAGCTCTTCATAAGTCTTGATGGCATCACCTGCATAGATGCTCCAATGCATAATCACAAAGCAGCAAAGATGCACAAAGCCCAACAGCAAGCAATGCTTGGCGTTGCTCTTGAAAACATTGGCTACTGACAGGGCGCCTGGCGATAGTGTGCACAGCACTGTGGTCTGCAAAATTGGGCATTTCTGCATTATTTATTGCACCATGAATAGCCTCTTGCAAAAGCCTTGCCCAGAGGTTGTGGTTGTTGGGTTGCGAGGGTGATCATTGTGTCACATGCCTCCCTTCTGTGCAGAACACAGTCCTCCCAAACACCAGGGGGTATGTGTCACAAGAATGATTGGCAAGATTTCCCATGCAAACACCGGCAGTCCTATCGCATCAAAATGCTCGACCTACCTACAAGACCATTTGCAACTTGCTGTTCCGCAAGTTCGCGTCGTAATGAAGCAATCACTGGGAGCCACACAGTCATCGCACAACTGCAAATCGTAGCACATCATTCCTTAGTCCCAGTCTCTGTGCACCAATCCACCACTATCTGCTGTTGCCCCCCCAGTGCCCTTCATCGTCATCAGTGTTAAGAGCACTGCACAACCATTTTTGACAAATGTAGCTAGATCAACTGCATGAGGGCGACCTTCCATTGGTCTGTGCAGCTTGCACTTCCCACCATAGGGACACAGTGGTGTGGATTCGACTTGCCGAAATATGCCAATTTGCTGCCCTGTCCCCGCTTTGAACATCTCACGTACTGCTGGTGTGATGCACGATGAAACAGTCCCATAAGCCAGCCCCACAGACTTTCAAAGCAAAACGCGCAAACTTGGCCACTCACTATCGTCGCTCCAACTGCAGCACGGCACTCCCGATCCTGACAGCCTCCACCAGCTGCTCAGTGACCAAGAGAGCACGCTGACGGGTCCTGCTGCGCTCGCGTTCATGGCGTGCTCTGTACAAGGCTGCTGCAGCCTGCCATAGCAACACAGAAAACGTTGCTGGCTGTGTCAGGTTACGGAATTGGACACTTGACAACTTCAACATAATGCATGTTTGCTGTGCTATGAAATGCAGCAATGGATAAGTTGGATGTGATCGCATCAGCCTTGATCGAAAACGCCTTCAGTATGCCTGTAGCTCAAATCCTTTGATTACATTTGTCACAAGAACATGACAAAACACTGCCCTTGCACCTTAGAGGCGATGTTGGGCATGAAATCCATACCAGTGTTGCTGATATTTTTGCATGATTTGCTTATTGTCACACAGAATCCCCTCCCCCCGAGTTCCGAAAACCCTCCCCTCTCCCAAGAGAAAATAGCCTCGTGCCTCATGCCTGTAGCGTGCAACTGGATTCCTCCTGACAAACGTGAGCTTCCATTTTTGCATATGGTGGTCCTGCTTGCGAAAGACTTATTGTTGAAGCTGTTCCAAATGCGATCGTGGGGCCATACACGGTGATATGCACCTTATCGCTAAGATTTCATTTGCAGAATTGCCCGAGTTCGCCCATCAAAAGATATCACCTGTATCATAAACGCAGACCTGTGCTGCACTCTCAAAGCTTCCACATAGGGGACCATCTCCCATGTTCGCAACTCGTCCCGGGCAGTTCCCAACTCTATCAGTGCACAACGAGCCAGAAGTGCTGCCTGCTCGATGCACCTCAGCTCACGCAAAGCTCTGGCTCCCTCAGGCAGCTCATCGAACATGGGGAGCGGCAACACATCGGCATCTCCTGATCCTACTGTCGGATCCTTCACACTGCCTTCTTTCAGATTGCCAAAGATAGGGATGCTGTTCATGTCGCAACCATCAGTTTCTATGCCTTCCTGACAATAAAACAAGGGAGTCAGCAAGCTTTGCAGCCTCGTGCTGTGATGCGCATTCAAGTCCTTGCGTACAGAATGTGGATTGTTCCACAAGCAATTGAATCATGCAGAACACGATGATGCACATGGGAGCCACGGACGGCAGCAACAAAATCTGCAACCAAGTTCATCGTGTATTACTTCTGACAGAAGTAGTTGTGCCATTTCGCTGTGCAATGCATTCATTGTCTCCTACTTCTCCATACATTCTTCTACTCAGGCTTTACTTACATGCAAGTTACAAGCAACTGCAGGCAGTTCAGTGATACTTTTTGCTGGGGCTTTCCCATTTGCTAGGCAGAAAATACCAGCAACAGTGACATGCTTTTGAACAACGAAGCTCTGAGTTCTCACGCAAAATGCACAGCTGAAACGAATGGCAGACGCGCTTGGGCCAAGAATCCAACTGCATCCACTAATGTCGCAATGGGAAGGACACCCAGCCCACAACGAACAAGTCCTGCTTTGAAAGTGGAGAAGATAGAAAACAGGCGAACCATTCAGCACACCAGCTGGGTTACTTTCATCAAACCAGCGGCCGACAAGCAAACGTGAACAGTTCATGGGCCAACAATGTGTGGCATGGCGATACTGTCGTGGGTTGTCTACCACATCACCTATCAACATGAGGTGCCTGACGGTTTGGCATGAAGGTAAACTCTCTCACCTCATGTGTATGCTGCACCTTCACAAAGAGCTGGGCCTTGGCTTCCTGCTGATGTGCAGTTCGCACACCCATAGCCCCACTGAGGTCGACCACAAGCCCGAGAGCAGCCTCTGCATGCGACAAAAACGCCTTTGCAGCTTCAATATGCCTGTACTGCAGTTCCCAGAGGCCGGCTTCCAGCAGAGCCGCCGCACGGACAACTGGTGGCACCCTTTCACGATTGGTGACATTGAAGATTTTCATCGTGTCGTCTGTCAGAGCAACAAGCTCAGTCCTCAGGGTTGCCGATTTGCGGGACAGCAGACGCTGATGGATGGCCACTGCCCTTGCCGCCCACCAGAACCATGATGGCAGTGCACTTTCCACAAAGCTTTTCGCTCTGCTGGGATCGATCATTTCCTCCAGGGTTGCGAGCTGATACTCAGACTCCCCGCACTGAATGGTTCTCGACTCTTTTGATCCCTCCACTTCTTCATCTTCCGCAAGTCCAGGCGACTGCACCTGCTTGAGGGCGGCCTGGGCAGATGCCCTCCTGTTAAGTTGAAGGAGGTCGACCAGGACTCTCCTTGCCAGCAGCAAGTACTGCGGCAGCTGGCACTTGGCAAACAGGTCTTCACTGTCCACAGCAAGCTGCCTTTCTGCCCACCGCTCATTGCTGGCACATGCTGCAGGGCCAGATACTGAGCTTGCCTTGCCGGGAAGATGGTGCTCGCACTGTGCTCCATTCTGCACCAAGGAACATTGTGGCTGGGAAGTGTCATGTTCAGGTCTGCAACATGCAATGTGTACTTGCATGTCAGAGCGTGACTGTGACAATTCAGCAACAACATATGTCGGCATCATGGTCCATAGCTAGCTCAGTGCATTATTGTATGTCTACTACACATCACAAGATAAGCAGAGCGACCCCAAGCTCAATGCACCAGGAATGTACAGCTGCTCCACATCTCAGAGGCCCCACCTTTACACAACAAGAAAGTGAGTGATCTTTGGAGATAACTGTGGAATTTTGTCTCGAAGATAACCTCTAAATTGCCACAGTAATGACATGCTGCCAAACAAACCAGCCATGTCAGAACAGTTTCAGAGATGATTGAATAGCAGCTTCAGCCAAGGCATCAACAGAATTTGTTACTTTGCCAGCTGTTAAAGATAGTATGTGACCATGCAGAAGGCAAGTGCACGATGCATGAAGTGGGAACAGCCAGCTGAGGCATAACGGAGTGTCATCTAGAGAATTCATTGTTGAGAGTTGTTCTATGGAGTGAGTGCATTTTCCATCTCCCAAAATGGCGCAAAGCGTTGGCAGTCCATGAAAGCTGTTCTCTGGCAATCTGGCAAATTTTGCAAATGTTATTGTGTTGATGCCTTGACCGGTGTTTTCAACCTCTTTTAGTTGGAGAGAAAGATGGCCAGAATGCCCCAAACGAGGGTTTAATGACTCGATACTGCACTTTTGGACTCTTTCGATTGCCCACCTTTCAGCAAACGTTGCACAAAAAGCGCAAGGATTTCCATGCAGGGTTAGCCAGCATCTCTTTACTTAACAGAGTAAATGCAGCTTTTGCAGAAAAGAGAAAGAAAAGACTTGACAATAGACATCGGTTGATGATAAGGCAGCAAGCTATGAAGAGGTTCTCCAAGTCAGCTCACAACCTGTGTTCTGCATTTTGCACCCCATATGGACAGCACACAACGACTCACCCAGTCACATTGGCCTGTACGAACAGCAGCAGAGCAGCAACCCCAACTGCAAAAAGCTTGACAGCACACCCTAGGTCCTCAAACTGCAGTGCAGTGCTCCATGTGCTGATCAGGTGACCTTCAAGGGCCTCAAATGCAGCAGGGTCACCCACACGGACCGCCCCACCAGATATCAAGATGCCTGCCTCAGTTGCCAGATCAAAAATTTCGCGGTACTTTCCTTCAATGGCCAATTGTAGCAAGGCATTGTGGCCGTCTGCAGCATTGGGCATAAATTTAATGTCAGCATGCAAAATCAGTTTTTGCACATACTCCATTGAAATAATGCCCAATTGCCACACATCTGGTAACTTGCGCCCTGCAAAGAAAGCACTGTGATGGCCATATGCCTTCACAACCGGGAACCGCACCAGCGTAGGGCAGCACGTCAGTGCCGTTCCTTTCCTGACAAAGGACAGCGTGGTAATCAACAAGACGCAACAATTTACGTTCTGCAGTCAACGAATGATTAGGGGATGCTTCGCCAGCGACATTGGCCACGCAGATCGCCACCCCCGCCGTTCTTATGGGGTTGCACCGCGGCCCATCTCCCAAGCCGCCCCGCCGAGCGTACCTGCCGGGCTGTCGATCCGCGCCGTCGCCAACGGCTCTCCGCCGATCGTCGCCCTCAGCAGGCGCAGCTCCCATTCCCAAACCTCCCCCGACATCGGCAACCCCCTCGACAACCGCAACGCCGGGCCCAGCGCCAGGCGGCCTCTCCGGCCCTCAGGCACACATCGCAAGCGGCCGGAGGCGCCAAAACGCACCAGAACTCGCGCCGCCACGTTCCCTGCACATTCCCCTCCCTGCCCCAAAATCCTCGCCCAGGAATCTATTAGAAGATCCTTAGAAGGAACCAAGTGAGACACATGAAGGGACCCCCCCGCCCTCCCTAATCGGCCCCCCCCCGTGACATCACCCAGTCCCGGCAAGTCCTGGGCGGGTTGCCTGCCCCCTGCCCCAGCCCACCCGCCATTCCGTCCAGCCCGGGCGGCGCGGGAAGGCGCGGACGAGCACGCCCAGGCGCGCCTCGCGCACGCGCAGGCAGCAAGGCCCTTCAGAATGGAAAGTTTCGGCAAAAGAGCGCGGGAGCTGGTTTTGGTAAGGCCCCCGCCCAACGATGAAGCGGGCTGAAACTCAGGGACTGAGACTGAGGGCGGTTGTTCATCTCGCGTTTTGGGCGCATTTGCTGTTTGCGGGGCTGACGTGGGATCCTGTGGCCGGCCTGGTCAGGACGAGCTGTTCGGCGCCCTGCGGGGCCCGCACGGGGAGTATCCATGGCGCGTGCTGGTGCTCGACAGACTCACCACGCGGATCGTCTCCTCCTGCGTGCGGATGTCCAACCTGCAGGAGAAGGGGATCTCGCGTGAGTACCGGGCGGGGGGTCGGAATGGCGTTTTGCTGGGGAAGGGCGGGCGCGGGGTGCGCGGGAGAAACCGCCGGTTGGGGCGGAAAGGGGAAGTTTGGCGCACGGGAGTTTGTGCCGGTTGGGGCGATTCCGGCGTGCTGAGTGGCGTTGCGCGCGGATCTTGCCGCGCGCGGCTGGTCTTGTCGTTCGTTTGCGGAGCCCTGCTGGTGGCTGTGGATTTGGGCTTCTTCGGGAGGGCTCACTGATGAGAGCAGCGCGCGTTTTTCGCGTGGTACAGGCCATTTTGGGTGGTGTTGGAGCGCAGCGGCGAGAAGTGGTCGCCGAGGGAATCAGCCGCGTTGTGCTTCTTGGGGATTGGGCCTTGCGAGCCTTCCATGTGTTGGACATGGCTTTATACCGAGATGTTTTGGCGAGTGCCGGAGATAATTCTTTGAGTCGCCCCTCACACTGGAGCTCAGCGGCAAACGGAAGGGTTTACAGGGACAGTTTGAAATTTTCCCCTGTAGATGTTGAAGATCTCACAAAGAAGCGCCAGCCAATGGCACTTGAGGCAGTCTACTTCATTTGCCCGACGCCTGGCAGCATCGGTGCGCTGATGGGAGACTTCTCAGATGCAAAGTCAGTGTACACTGGAGCCCATGTGTTCTTCACTTCCAAGCTGGCAACTGAATTTCTGAATAGAATTAAAGGGAACAGGGCGTTGGTGCAACGCCTGAAGGCCTTGAAAGAGGTCAGTGGAACATTTGCTGCTCATTCTGTTTCAAGGAGAAACTCCTGCACATCAAATGTCAGAGATTCTCTTGACAATGGGATTAAGGGCATAGCCCTTGTTGCTTGGTGTGTCCCTGCAGGCTGTGACAGATGCACAAAAAAATGCCACACCCCTGGCTGAAGTGTGTAATGCACTGAATAAACAACGTGCAGATGGAGTTGTGCGAAGCCTGATTGTGTGCAGCTGTTCAAATCAAACTTCTGGTAAATTTGTGTGTTGCTCTGGTACAGTGTGGAATGTGTTGCAGGCAAGGCAGGTTCATATCGCTTCGTGTGGTGTGTTGTTAGGCAAACCTTGAGGTGCTGACTGTCGATTCGAGATCGTTTCAGACGGGCCAGCCAGAAGCCATGACGTGCCTCTTCGGGTCAAGGTCAGATGAGCGAAGCCGTGAGTAAGTGCCACACATAAGCAGCAAAGTGTTTGGCTATGGGTCCTGGTCATGGCCTGCTTGATTTCCATCTAAAATTTGATACCTCTTGAGGAGGTGTTTTTTTCCATTCCAGGTTTTCCATCGAAGTGGATTCCATGGCTACTCGCCTTGCAACAGTGTTTGCTGCTCTCAAGGTAGGTGTGCAGAAGCATATCCATGGTTGCACACTGGTGACAAAAGAAACAAAGGACTAAATAGTGGCAATTTGACAAAAGGGGGAACCCAGACATGCTCCAGCTATCTCTTGGAGGACCCCGCAGACACGCTGGGCATGTCTCATTACTTGGCATGCTTGTCTCGCCTTTATCAGAGCAGACAACTAGCATAGGCTTGATTGTGCAAGGGCATGGGCAGACTGCTGTGAAGAGCAGATAGTGGGCACCTGAAGATGGTTGAGGTCAGTTGAAAGGCTGAAAGAGACCTGTTTGTGCTCATGGAAGGCTGTTAAAGGCACGTGAGGGGGATATGGCTGTTGAATGAAAACAGCACGTGCTCAGCTTTTCCACCTCTGATCCCACACATCATATACCTTGTGATATGCCTTGATTTCAAATACCAACTCTGTACTTAGCACAGGACCTCATTTCTCTCCTTGCCAAAGATAGAATTATGCAAGTTCGGCCCCGCTCGTGTGAGTTTATACGATTTTTTATGAATGCATGTGAGTGTCTCCCCTTTTCATGGACATACCATAGGTGTGCACTCTCTGTGACGTGTTGATTCCTGAGCTTTAAAGCTGTCACCACCTGCGCTACTGCGCACCCTCCCCTGAAGCTGTTGGATGGTGAGGCTGCGCTTTCACCCATGGCAGGAGTACCCATCCATTCGTTACAGGAAGACTGGAGACAGGAGCCTTGGGAACTGTGCGATAGTTCCTGAGAGACTGGCCCAGAGTGTTCAGATGGAGCTGTTGAACCTGCTGCAGAAGGACACACTACCATCGAAACCAAGCTGCGATTTGCTCATTGTTGACAGAGGTTTCGATCCAGTTGCACCCATCATTCACGAATGGACATATGAGGCCATGGTATACGATCTTGAGCACCTGGATGGTGATGTTTTCATGGGCTTATCAGGCAGTAAGTCAGGTAGGCAAGGTTCATAGGTTCTGGAGACCTTTGTCAGCTATAGATTGCCTGTGTGTAGCAAAGCCTGGTACAACAGTTGCCTGCCCCACTGAGCAGTCAACAAGGACCCCAGTGTGTAATGCCTCTAAGTCAAAAATTTGGTGCTATGGGCATCATAAATCATCATGGTAAATCATGGTATTTCATCTGCAGCTAGGATTGGCTGGCACTAGGCAATGCATGGAAAAGTGAAAGCCACGTGCACATCCTGATCACAGAGCCGATAAGTCCCCACTCATGGTTGAACTCTACTGAATCTGAAAGATGTGCAATAGGATGTGCTGTTGTTGGCCCAGAAACATGCTTGTGGGCCAGTACAACGCGTGTAGATCGCACAACAGCTCTGTAAGTTTTCCGGATGTCAATGTTGTCCCTCGACCAACTGAAAACTGCTTGCACTGTTAGTGTTCAGAGTTCTGACAGCCTTGGTACCGCCTCCCTTGGCGACCAACAAGATGTGCCTCTGGCAGGGATAGAAGTGCACGCATGGAGCCTGGTCACTTTGATGCAGTGCAGTCCCATGCTTAAAGCCACTTGCTGCACCTGGCTGTTGTCTATTTTTGGCATGTGTGAGTGTGCTTGTGGCGTTGTTTCAATTTAATTGTTGTTTCAATTGTAACATGGGCAGTCAACTCTAATTTGCAGTACACTTTCATCATGCACAGGTAATTGTCCAATGAATTGGTGTGTGGATTGGTACAGAAAAAAAGGAAGTTGTTCTTGGGGAGCATGATGAACTCTGGGTGGAAATACGGCACATGCACATTGCCCAAGCGTCAAGGGCTGTTAACGAGCGGATGGAAGATTTCCGGAAGAGAAATGAGGCAGCAAGGCGTGGCGGGGTGAGTAGAGACAAGCACTGTTGAGAGCACTTGGCTTAGAGAACCCAGAAACCCCACCTGGGGATGCCCAACATTTGCAATTGTGGACTGGGCGACATGCTGTGCAAGAATGTGAGTGTATCTTGAAGGCAATGAGTCCATTGCAAAATCTGCCTTTTCTAGTCTGAAACAACGAGGTAAAATGCCACACTTCGCATAGTGTCCAGATAGGCATGCAAATGTCCAGACATGGTGTGGGTAAGCTTTGTTGCACTTTGGGAGAATTGGTGGAGAATTTTGTGGTGTTGCAAATGGTCCTATCTAAGCACTACGCCCATTCCACTGCTGCATCTCAAGTTGATTGTGCTGTGATATCAGGACATGGGCTCTGGTATGTCTGCCTCCGACATGCGCAAGCTCATTCAGGCACTTCCAGAATTCAGGTGAGCAGTGGGTGCAATGGTTGACACTTTGGAAAGGCGCTCAGATGGTTGATGGTGGGAGAGAATCCCTTGTTGCTTCGGAAGTGACGGGATGCATCGGCTACTGCTCTCATTCCTCTTCGAAGCAGCTTGTACAACCTGGGATAGTTGGCATTGCTGACCAGTGATTGAAACACACATTGCATGCAAGGTTGAATTCTGTCCAAGGAACTATAAGTGTTGAGGAAGAGGTGGGCAAGACAGTACTGCTCCTTGTGGGGAGAGTGTTTTTGACAAGCAGCAATGGGAAATAGTCATCCTTGGGTGGTTGGGAAAGACGCAGTGTAGCGGAGGTAGAATATGTATCATAGCTAAAATTTCGACGCAAGGTGCTTGTGGTAGGGATAGTGGATGACACCTGTGTAGGGCGGAGACATATTGTATTCCTTTTCATACAAGAGAATGCCATTTCAATTCTTGGTGAAATTTGAGCACGAGTATATGCTCCAACAGGGATGATAGATTGCAATACATTTGCTAGGACCGCATGACCCTACCTGGTGTTGTTGAGAATGCTGGGGACCAGTTGGTTTGAATGGAAAATGCTTCAAATTTGCACCGCACTTGGGGGTCTCTACTCCACAGAATATTATGGGGGCAACTGCCAGAAACAACTGCTGTCACCTTGTTACAAGGGCTGAATTGCAGGTGTGAAGCTGTCGTTTTGGGTGAAGGTTGAGATGTGGCTGTGAAGATGGTCTTTCAAAAAAAATGGGATGCACCTCCCACACCAGGCGCTGCCCGTTTGAGCAGACACTGGTGAGCGTCTTTGCACTCCATAAAGGTGATAAGGCTTTTCTGAGTGCAGCAGGAATAGCTGGTACAATTGGAAATCAGCTGCAATAAGACAAAGCAGTATAATTGCACTCTGCTGGCGACACTGAGCATGTACGCATCCAAGAACGTTTTAGAGGCTCCCATCTGTTCAATTTTTCCGCTGCCCCCCTCTGTGGTCAGACATTGCTGCATGATTGCTGTCCCAAGCCTGGTAACACGACTGGTAGTCAGCTCAGATGTGTGGCTGTAGGGACGTATTGTCAAAGGTTGCCTTGCACATCGACATCAGCCACGACTTGTTCCAACTTGTGGAGGAGCGAAACTTGAAGACCCTTGGAGAGGTGGAACAAGATTTGGTGTATGGGGACAAGCATTCCAAGGACGTCATCACCTGGCTCAGTGAGAACCAGCAGGCCTCTGTCCGAGACAAGGTAGTTTGTGCTGCTTTGCTGGCCTTGCTACATTGCCATGCATTCACAGAAACTCTGCACATGATGATGTGGTTTGATGCATTGCGAATGCACGCATTTTTGCGAAGATTGTTACGCAGACCCCAGCACCAGTGGAAGGGTGTGTGAACACAATGTTGCACACGTGCTGCGCAAACTCTGTACCATACATATGCTGGTGGGTCAACGCAGAGGCTTGTGCAGCAAAGGTTATGCTGACCACATCATATACACCCCAACTCCACCACTGCTGCAACCTCAAACAGGCTGCCAAAACGTGTCCCTTGCATTGCCGAATACCCTATCAGGGCACTGACTGCCAGGACAGTGTTTGGCCTGCTGCCGATGACTTGAAAAAAATGGCCAACCCACTACCCGTTTATTTGTAATGCAGATGCGACTGTTCATGTGCTACTTGGCAACCCACCCGGACAAATTGGATTCTGAGCGGCGCGTCCAGTGGCAAAAGCTGGCAGGCCTGCACACGGAGGACATGTCCACTGTCCTTAACTTGGAATACCTGGGGGTGCCAGTGTCGAAAAAGGACGCTGGCTCAAGCAGGCTCCTGAACTTTGGGCGCCGGAAGAAGAGGGCCACAAGGAAGGAGAGGGGAGAGAGTGAGCAGGAGTTTGCCCTGGCTCGCTTCCAACCGCTGCTGGCAGAGGTCTTGGAGGACTTGGTCTCTGGGAGCCTGCCTGCTGATCAGTACCCTTACATCAATCCACCAGAGGGTGGCCAGGCGCCCTCCAGCGTAAGTTGGGGTTGTAACACCGGGGTGCTTGTGGGGCAGATACTAGTACAGATATTTGTCTACTGCACAAACAGCATGTTCACTCAGTATACCGTATGCTGGACAACCAACTGGCGCACCTGGATCGCCAGCATATTGTTGGGATATGGCAACAGTAGTGGTGTGCAGGATGTGCACATGTCATGCCAGCAGATGTGTGAGAAGCACCTTGCTTAAATGGCGTATCGTGGCACCGATCGTGCAATTACTGTGCAAAGGGTGTGGTGGGCTGGTTTCATAGGAATCTGAGGATATGGTGTTGTGTTTGCCAGACACTATGTAGTCCATTGCATCGTGGCATTGACCACTGTTCTTGTAGGCGAAATCAGGGTGGCCTGTTGGATGACCATCCACACCTCTCATATGGCAGCTTGTTCCTTGGTATCCTTGCTGGCCATGCTCCTTGTCCAAAGGCTCCAGAGCCCGCCTGGTGCTAGCCATATTGCATTGACATGCTTCCTTGTGTGTGGTGGCAACAGAAGGTGACATCTGTTAGGACACAAACTGGCTGGGCACAAAGGGCAAAGGGCACACAGGCATCCAGCGAGACAGGGCAGAACAAGCGCATCGTGGTGTTTGTGATTGGTGGGTTCACGCGCTCCGAGATGCGTGCTGTGCACAAGCTGTCCAGCAGCCTATCAAAGGACATAATATTGGGAGGCACAAGTGTGGAGACACCTGACACCTTCATTCAGCACCTGTCGGATCTTGGCCACGCCAGGCAGGACGACCTGGCAGTGCAGATTGAGGGCTCCCGGTACTAAAAAATCGATGCATGTTCGTGCCAACCCGTTGCAAGGGGTGTTGCAGAGGATCAGCTGGGCAACAACAACTTGGGTAGTCATGGACTAGCATGCTTCCCAGCAACGAGGCCTGGGACCAAGGAACCCCTGTCTCACTGGAGCTGGACTCAAGTCGGGTGCAAGCTGCAAAGGGCCTTGTTTCCAAAGTTATTGGGTCTGGAGAAGTGCTGCAATTGCCTTAGCAGGTTCAATGTCTGCGTATGGTTGGTGGTATTGCTGTCACCACACGATGGTGCGGGGCAACAGGGGGAGTTCTGTCCGCACTCGGGGTTGTGACTGGATTTGTGAATTCAACATGTGGGATATGGGGTGGGACGGAGGGTTCCTTCGGAGGGCTGTAAGACGTGGAAGAGCCAGAACCTGCTGGCGGGGAGATGATCAACTCACAAACACACATTTGCCAGCCATCTTACATCCTGACCACAAAAAGGAACTCAAGCCAATGTGTATAGTGTAGGAAGGAGAATGTTCTCCTCCCTTGTTGCCAGTGACAAGCAGCAGGTGCTTGCCCGAGAGCTGCCAACAAAATGCAGCATGGCAAGGGTGGCCACTGGCCACCCTCCCCCTTCACCTCAGCATTTGGCCTTTGCATAGTCTGTGGCAGGTGCTTGTGCTATCGTGTGCTCCCTAGCCTCGTTGAGCTGTCCGCAAGTTGCTGCCCGCTACCTTAATCCGCCAGCACCGCTCATGCGCCCTGCTCCCTGCTTTCCCTCGCAACTCTTTGCAGCCTTCTTAGGCTTGCCACTGTGTGAGCCTTCTTGTAGGGATGGGCATACACGACTAGTATGGAAACGCAAACGTGTCCACTACGTTTGAGATTTTGGAACGGAGGCATGAACGTATGCAATACGTTTCGGTTTTCAAAACGGGAATTTGAACATCTGCCAAACAATTTTACTGCAGGCACCCCACGTCCAAACTGAGCAAGATCAGTTCAGTTGACTAACGATCTGGGCGAAGTATCCACAAGCGACACGTTGGTCTGCATCCACGTTCCGGTTTTGGAAAGCCGGACGCAAGCAACACGTTCGTGTTCACGTTTTGAAAATCCAAACGAACTGCAAACGCACTGCCACAACTGGCATGTATTGGTGCGCAATTGGCCCAGATACTTTATCCATATCACCCTCCCTGGATCTCCCACACACTTTCTTGTGCTGCGGCGGGCCAACAGTGGGGACCAACGCCTAGCATACGTTTAAACTAGCTGGACGTCCAGGCCATCGAAACGTGAACGCAAACGCCCGCAGCACATGTTGGATACCTGGAATGGAAGCGCGAACGTGGTCTGCATGGCTGCATCTTGAAAACGGGAGTGCAAACGTATCCGCTGCCTTTGGGTTTCCAAAGCCGGAATGCAAACGCGTCATTAACGTTTCGTTAACGTTTCATCCCGAACAGAAAGTGAACGTGGAAAACACGTTCGTTTGTGCCCACCCCTGCCTTTCTGGGCTTGTCACCGTTGCTCGAGTCCTTTGCCTTGCTGATGGCCTCCTTGACCTCTGGACACAGCATACACAATAGCAAGTTTTCAAACGGCTGCCCTCAGACAATAGCACAACGCACCAAAGTCTGAACCTTTTGCATCGATACCCACACTGGCCCACAAAGGGCAGCCACAAGCAGCATCTTGAACAGTGGAACGCAAACAAGAAGATTCACGAAGACGAAGCTTAACCCACAATGGTGCACGATCGCTGCACATGAACAAGTTTCGGGCGAGTGACCTTTCAAATGGTCCCACAGCTTCAGCAGTTGGTGGACGTTGGGAGCGGCTTCTGTTGCTCTTTCTTCTGAAACAGCAAGCAAACAGCTGTCATTGCGCCGGGAGCACTGGCCAAATTATTCCCAACTCATTCAAGCTCTTGACCAAGCACGACTTGGCTCAACTTTGTTTTAGCGGGAGTGGGGCAAGCACGACTGCCTGGCTGCAACCACTGAATCTTTCCTCCCAGAAGCTCCCAATGTATCTGGACTCTAGACCCGCACCTCTAAATGCTAATGACCAACCCGACGTGGGCTCGATGCTACAACACACAGAATGGACCTGCCGGAAAGCAGCGTCCCGAGCAGGCTGACAAATCTCAGGCTGCCCACCCCCCTTCTTTGTAATCACCTGGGAAATACACATGTGAAGAAACTGAAATTCAGACCCAGGCACGTATTGCTATTATTTCATTACCTCCACTTTGCTCTCAATCATTGCGGCTCTTTTCTTTTCCTTTTGGAGGAGAAATTTCCACGAGGATAGACAAAGGAAGAAACTGGGATTGGAGCAGGGTCAAGTTGTACTCCACGGCACCTTGCAGGTTATCAACGCGTTCCGTTGTGTCCAGAAGTCCCGCGCCGTTGGTGTTAGACGTAACCAGGTCGCGGGCCTCAAGGACCTCCCAGGGAGAGTGGGCTTACCTTGTGTGGCGACACCCCTCACCAACTTCGAACATCGCCACGGGCATCGCGTGCCTCAAGGGCCCCGGAGGAGGACGAGGGGGGAGGGGGGCGACGGGCGTCGCCACACAAGGTAAGCCCACCCCACCCACCCCTGTGGGGCCTTGAGGCCTGTGACTCCCATGGCGACGCCCGACGCTGGCGACAGACCCCGTCGGATAGCCGGCGACACATTCTGGCGACGCCCAGCGATGTAGGGTCCCGGGGACGCCGGCGTCGGAAAACCGTCCTCCCCGTGGCGACGCCAGCGCACCCGGGCTGCGATGTCGCTCCCCTTGGCGCCGGGAAATTCCGGCGGCGTCGCCCGAGATTGGGACTCTAGAGTGGCAAACCACCTGACGCGTTTCATTTTCCCTGCTGACATTTAGTCCAGATGCACAGCACTTGACCATATACGATGTCGCTGCTGTTTCTCCACTACAATATGCACAATACAGTACAATGTGTACAACACCACACTCTGCGCATTGCAGTATGACAGTAGAGGTATCAAATGTCCAATGATGTGCCCCAACGATGTGAGGTTGGTGGCACGGCACCACCAATCTCTGCAACTGTCTGCGCCGCAGCATCCCAACAGATGAAACAGGTCATTCTTGGAAAATAATGATGTCCAGCGCACGCACAAGGTCAGCGTGGGTGGAAGGGATCGCGCATTTTGGAAGGCTGGTCAGATTGCAGTAGCGTTTTAGAAAGCGGCGTGAGCGCAACGCACCTCGAGTGGGGAACTGACAGCAAGCCTCAAGGTGACTTTCTGATGTGTTCCCCGCTTTCGCCTTGAGGAATCAGTGGCTTGGTCCTGTCGATCAGGCACAGGAATCCAGAGGGCTAAGTGGCTGAGTTTGGAGGCGCTTCCGGTGCTTAACGCCAATTTCAAACTCTCGAAGACGGCAAACTGCGTTTTGAGCCCGCCACGATTCGAATGACCCAATCACTTGGTTGATCACCGAGCAGTCAGTGTATGGAAGCAAACGGCACAAGGCTTTGTAGGCCTTGACTGCAGAGCGCATATCCGTGCCACAGACCAACTGTCACAGCGCTTCTCTGCGGGTTGAGCCCAGCAGAGACATCTCTGTCACGCCAGTATCAGGCTTCACTAAACACTAGGAAAAAAAGGGCCAAATAACACGTGTTCAAACGTGTACGAAGTTTACGGGTTTGTGTTATTTTTGTGTTCTTCGCGTGTAAAACTTTTAAAATGTGTTTTATGTGTGTTCCCAAAAGTGTTATTTGGCCCTTTTTTTCCTAGTGAAAGTGTCGTTTCATGCGACTTTCTTGTTCTTTGACTCCTAATGTACGTTCTCCAAGTTGAGCAATTGCTGGCGACCCGACCATGAAGTAACCGATTTGTGAGCAAGTTATTCGTTGTTATTTATCTATGCTCATGTTCGTTTATTCAACCCTTCACTTATTTGCTTATTCCTCCGCAGAGAGAAAATCGTGAGCTTTAGCGCGCTCGGGCATGGCAGTCCGTTCGATGCTGCCCCGCCTCTTCACATTTCACCCTCGCTCGTTGCTCCCACCGGCGCTTGGGGCGCCGCGCAGCTCAGCCCCACAAAGGTGCCCCCACGAATCCACGATGTGGATTCCACATCGTCCAGCAAAGCACCCCACAAATCGTTCACAGAACAGCACAAAATTGTTGCATTGGATGGATCCCGCATATTCTCGTGCACTTTCCTCTACATCGACGTCCAGTTTTATGTCTGTGGCCCTCGCCCTTTGATGTGAGAGAGTCCAGAAGTCGTTGACCGTCAACGAAAGGTGCTGCGACCGGCCAATCGCTGGAAATCAGCCGGTGCGAATAGTTTGTTTTACCACTATTTATTTTTGATGGTAGAGAGTCCATGTTCCAGTAGCCGATACGCCGTGAAAACTGATCGTAATTACGTTTTTACGCACAAAAATAGTTTTTACGTTGTTACGCGTAAAAATGCGTAAAATTTATGTAAATGCAACGTAAAAACTGCCTGGTACATAAAGACGGAACATACAGACTTACGGAGTCCGGAGACTGGCAGTCAGACGCCCTGAAAGAGGCAGAAACGAGTTTTTGCTAAATGCCATTATCGCCCTTGCCAAGGGCGAGTTAGACATTGTGTTGCGGGTGCTGGAGATGGCGCAAGGCTAATCATAGTACGCAGCTTTCATCGTGTAAACTGGGTGCCCCAGGGAGCTGTGAAACGTCGAAACAGCCGCAAAAATGGGCCCTTTTGCAATTTACGTTTTTGCGCGTAAAAACGCAAAAGTGAAATCGTCAACGTAAACGCAAAAGCCAAGCCTGATCATTATCATCAATCGTCCGGCACGTCTCTCACAAGTTCGTTACGTCGGTTCCAATCACGCCTGGGCATCACACGTCTTCCCACGCCAACATTCATCCATTATTAATTAGATCATCATCACCATCTTTTGCGAAGTGCCCCTGTGGAGATTGGTGCTTTTTCATCGATACGTCGATATAGTCTAATGTGGCCTTCGAATCTTTATCAGCATGATAGTTGTATAATAGATGAACGTTGGGGTGAGAAGACCTGTGATGCCCAGGCGCGATTAGAACTGACGAGGTGAACCTGTGGAGATGTGGTGGATGATTGCTGAAGATGACCAGGTGATATGCCGCAGCCTTGAAGATGAACACATGATGCGCCGTGGCCTTGGAAGTGCGCCGTGAGGACTGCTCCCAGTGACGAGCTGCGAGGAGTGGCCGTGGCCCATTTTCCGATGACCAGCTGCGCCCCTTTTCAATGATCTACATGAGGAGAGAGGTGCTGCGACGCCCGGAGCCTGGCCGTTACCACGGGGCAACAACGTTTACGCTGGCGAACTGATGGTTGCCTTGGTGGAGGTAACGGTTACCCCAGTAACGGCGACCGTCATCATGGTGGCAATGGCCATTACCACGAGGCAGCAACGTTTACGCATGTTGGCGCCAGTGGTTGCCCTGACGTGGCGTGGCGGCACAGGACTTAGCATGTTAGGGTAATAGGTTGGACGGCGACGGGTAGCGATGTGGGAACCGCAGGGACAACTGTTGTAGGCGCTGAATGGCTAAAGTATTAGGGTACTGGAACCCGAGCGGAGTGGGAAGCCGTTTTGGTACGTGGGCATATATGTTTGGTATGGTGCTTTGCGGGAAACGGTGCTAGGGTAACGGAATGTGGTATGTTTGAACCTGCCGAGTACGGGACGCCATTACCCAGGCATAAAGTACAAGGGAAACGTTGATAGTCGATGTGACGGAACTGAGTGCATACGCAAGTCCATGGAAACGTTACCACAGCGACTGCGGTGCCGGGGCACTCAGCAGGAACGTGTGTGTGAGACGTGTGAGGTACTGCGCGGTACCGGCATGCCTGTTGGATGTTTCCTGGTAACGGTACCTTGTTGGGAAACGGAACCCGCGCTTGGACTACCGTATTTACCCGGTATTAGTATGCACCCCCTTCTTTGGGGGTCGAACCCACGTTAGTATCCATGACCCGGTGTTAGTATCCACCCCCAAACCTCAACAGCGCAGAAACGACGGAAGGCGCGGATGGTGGCAAGGGAAGTCGGGGGCTGCTGTTGGACCTCGTTGCCCAGTCTGGACCAAGCCGCGTTCCCTGCGATTCGCACATCGACGGGGACGATCGGGTCGGGGTGGATGTTGTCGAGGGAGAATTTGGAGGGGTTCCCCCGAAAAGCCGCGCGGTCGACTGGCCGCCATTGGCGTTCTCAGCGCAGGGTCGCAAGGCAGCGACCGATGCCGCAAGGCCCGATGATAGAAGCGGTCGAGAATTCAAAGCCGCCCTAGTTTCTGGATTGAGCCAACCTGCTCCCCGGCCGGCCAGAGCAGGTTCCGGCCTGGCGCTTGGCACGGGCCCCCCAAGGCCCAGCGCCAGGAATGGGCAGGCGACGGCATTGGTCGGAGCAACTGCCGTTGCGAGACCCCGCCCTGCAAAACTGGCCGTAAAGTGCTGCGAAGGTGGGGCAAAACACATCTCACTGGCTACCAGGCCACAGACCCAATCACAGATCCCGTCAGCCTTCCCTGTCGCCATCAGCGAGGGAAAACGCCGCCTGTCGAGCATCGTCACGACGTGGTGCCCCAGCGAGTCGAGACCCATGCCAGGCCTTGTTCTTTGCATTGCAGAGGCAAATGCGCCTCGAGCATTCCAGCGAATCCCTGACGGCCCCAATCGCCAGTCGCCACCAGCTAGTGCAGCCCCAAGTCAAGGCCGCCAGTTCCTGTGAAGAGGCTGACAACATTCCGCACTAGCATCGCCATTTTTGTCCATTTTGGGGTATTTCACGGCCTATTTGTCAAAAATTTTCTTTGTCTACTCTTTGGAATCAGGGGTCCAAACCGCGTTAGTATACATGACCCGCTATTAGTATCCACAGCTCTTTTTTGGGGTCCAATACATGCCTACTAATACCGGGTAAATACGGTATATATGGACGCACGACTGTACTTGTGATGAGCGCTGGTTTTGGGCCCACCCTGGTGCTTCTCTGTGCACACACGGGGATTGTGACCCGCTGGATGGCTACCGTACCGTGCTGAAGTCGCCTATCGAAGGCGCACTTTCGCCATCGAGTCCAGCTCGATTTGGCGATCGTTTGGATTCTGCATGACCGGCACTCGACTGGAAGATTCGTCATCCGAACGCTCTTCACACGGCGGTATAAGGCTCGACGCTACACTGCCGTACCGACTCTAAGACTGTAGTTAGACCATACAGAGGTATTAATGACAAAGTACCAATCTCCATATGGGTACTTCACAAAACGCCACTACTACAGAATCTATGCCGCGCCGCCGCATCCACCAGTTTCTGTGCAACCAGTAGCCGCAAGCCCTTCAGCGCGACGGCCCCCAAGGGGCGGCGGCCGCCGAGACCGCGCAGCCACGCGCGCAGGCCGCCGCCCAGGACTGCCCCCATTTGGTTCGCCCTGCGGCAGAGAGCGCTTCTCAAGTCCCCCGGCCCTACGGGCAAAACACGAGGTCCGTGTCATACGCACAGTGGTTGTGCTCTCGATCTCACCACTGCATGTTCAGTAAAGCGTATAGCAAGGGGTGCATCGTGGGCATGGTGAAAAGGGGACAGCCCTGCGGTCAAACCGCGAGGTCCGCATCACATGTACCGTGGTGGCGCTCGCAATCTCACCACTGAATACGCGGTAAAGCGTACAAGAACGGGTGCATCGTGGGCATGGTGGAAGGAGGGTGGAGCAGCTGGCGCTCGCTTGTTGCCTGAAGGTTCGATTTGCAGAGGTTGGCGCTGGTGGTGGGGCAGGGGTGCTTGGGGTCCACCCTGTGGACAACACAAATTGCTCTCCTCCTGACAAGCACAAACGGCAAAGTTCGCAAGGGTCTCATGGGGCTCAGTGGCCACAAGGGTGGGAATCGCAAAGCTGATTGGCGGCAGGTGGACTGCTCGGTGTTCGGTGTTCTTGGCCTGGCCCCATGTGACCACAGGCGCGATGAACGAGTTCGATGGGAACTTTGCTGGTCTGCCTGTTGGCCTGAAGGGGCAGGGGCGGCACTGAGGAGGACCGTACACTGTGGCAGTGCCCCTTGGCGTCCCGTTGCTGGTTGCCTTCACCGATTGATGTTGCTGGGCGTTCTCTGCTTGAACGCAAGCGCACACTGGCCCCCCCCAGTCGCTCCTTTATGCGCATTTTCACAATCTCGTCAATCGATGTGTGGCATGCAAATAGAGGGTAGTGTTCATGTCAACATCGGCTGCATTTTCGAATCCTGCATTGTTCGAATGAACCTCCCCATCCAGGGTGCAGAGCTAGCTCTGCACCACCCTCACACTGAGCGCTAACATATCTGCCAATGGCCCTGTCCTTATCATCCATGCGCAAGGGGGCAGTTCGGCGTCATAGGCACATATGTCAGTAAATCAGCAGCTGCCACCCATGCCTGAGCAGTTGTTGTAAGTCCGTGTTTTGGGTGCTCAGAAGTCCACCACACACAACACTGCCGATGGAGACTGTGGCAGTTGCTTCCATGGCCACACCACCTCCCACGCCCCCAAGCCCAGCATCTGCCCTCCCTCCAGCAGATCCCAGCGAGGTACCTGTTGATGAGGAGGTGCCCAGCAAGGCCATCGAGGTGGACCTCAACAAGCACCCATCTGGGATCGTCCCCCAGTTGCAGAACGTCGTGTCGACATGCTACCTGGGCCGGAAACTGGACCTCAAACACATCGCCTTGCATGCCAGAAATGCCGAGTACAATCCCAAGCGGTTCGCAGCAGTGATCATGCGGATACGGGAACCGAAGACCACGGCGCTCATCTTCAGCTCGGGTGAGTTGGTGTGCCTGCTGGATGTTGGATGGCTGCCAGCACCGGGGTGAATGATTATCTGGATGCTGTTGGCCTAACCGCCACTGACCCTTTGGCCCTTGTGCTGCTGGCCTGTAACTGGGTGTCCATGTGACTAGGCTGGGCTTGTCCAATGCTCTGCTGGTACCTTCCCTATGGAACAGAAGCAAGCCATGCACTGGCCACACCTGCAGATGCGTGTGAGCCTCCTGTCCACCTACAAAAAGTGATCGGGGCTCTTGCAACGGAAACATGGATTTGGCTGCTAGGTTCCTTTGTTCCCAACGTGCAGCATGCCTGAACCCTCCCCTGGTGAAGCCATGACTCTGTGTGAGCCTTCTATCCACCTATGATCGGGGCTCTTGCAACGGAAACATGGAGTTGGCTGCTGGGTGCCTTTGTTCCCACCGCACAGCATGCCTGCGCCCGCCCCTTGTGAAGCCATGACTGTGCCCGAGGTGCACATGCGGCCCACCAAAGTGATGTGCTCATGGGTGTGGCATCTCAACCAGGCAAGATGGTGTGCACGGGCGCCAAGAGTGAGAGCGACTCACGCCTCGCCGCTCGCAAGTACGCCCGCGTCATCCAGAAACTGGGCTTTGACAACGCCAAGTTCCAGGACTTCAAGATCCAGAACATCGTGGCCTCGTGCGACGTGCGCTTCCCCATCCGCCTCGAGGGCCTCCAGCACAAGCATGGCATCTTCTCGCACTACGAGCCCGAGCTGTTCCCGGGGCTGATATACAGGATGAAGAAGCCCAAGGTGGTGCTGCTGATCTTCGTGTCGGGCAAGGTGGTGCTGACGGGTGCGAAGCACAGGGACGAGATATATGAGGCTTTTGAGATGATCCACCCTGCGCTGCTGGAGTTCAGGAAGGGCGACCCACAGGCGGTCCTGGGCAAGCAGTCTGCTGTCAGCATCGAGCCATCTTCCTTGGGGTTAGAAACTACGCGGATCAAGATCGAGGGGGAGAGTTTTGGGTTGCCGCTGCCTTCACCAGGGTCCAGCATGATGCCCACCAGCCCCAGCCACATGCTGCCGCCCCCCACGCCCTGGGGCCACAGCCTGCCGCCGCCAACGCCCTCGTACAGCGGCCTCCCTCCTTCGACGCCCATGCACAGTCTGCCCCCATGCACACCATCCCACGTGGGCCTGCCGCCCCCGACGCCAAGCTACAAGATCGAGCCGCAGTTTCCCTGAGGATGCGGTTGGGATAAGATTGGTTACAAAGAGAAACAGGTAACACAAAGGGAACCTCCTGAACAAGACCCTCCTGAAGACAGGGTTGGGTGGGGGGTGATGAGTGGCTTATGTGAGTGTGCGCCTGGCGGAGGCCTGGTTAAATGAGGGGGAAAGAGCGCTGGGAAGGGTTTGAGCGAGTGGGCTGCGGAGCACAGAGGCCGGGTTTTGATTGAGAAGAACAAGAAATGCTGTGTATTCGTTTGGATTCTTGATGGGTGCAAATGTGCGAAGAGTGGAATCGCTTACACTGCTTTGTAAACAGCAAAGCATTGTGAATGACGTTCCCGTTCATCTGCAGGGCATGCCCAGCCCTCTCTAGATCTGGTGTTGTGTGCAGCGCTAGGCTCTGAACGAGCTGCGTGCCTGCCTTGAACTAGCAAACTGATCATGAAAGCAAAAGATTGAAGCGCAAGACCAGGGCATGCGCTCCTAGTCCAATTTCCATAACCTTCTAGCAGGAAAGCTGTGGTGCCTACCTGGCTAAACTCGATCTAAGGAAATATGGTGTCAGGAGAGTGGGCTGGCCACAGTTGCGATGCTGTCCAGTTGAGCCTGCTGGCATGTCCAAACACCAGTGGCAACACATGCACTGGGCGAGACCATCTTTATTGCCCCCGCTTTGTACCACCTTTGAATCCATGTGGCCGTGTCAGCCTGATCGTTGGAAATGCCATACTAACGAATGCAGGGGTACCTGTGCACACACAACGGCATGGACTGCGAGCCTGCAGAGTGTTGATACTCGAGGCCAATCAGTTGGCTTGTGGAACGCGCAGGACCCGCAACAAGCGAGCCATCATTACACCCTACACATCCATCGCCTCCCCCCCTCGTGCCGCCACTTCAAGAAACCTGTTCTTATTCGCCAGAACGGCGGTCACTCCGTTCCCGAAACAGCGTCCTCAACAGCCAACAGAACAGCGGCTTGCCTGCGATCCTGAGCCATGGCCCGTGACTCATCAGGCAACCACCCAGGGCCTTCCGTCTCCCACCGGATCCACCATCCACAGATCACTTCTGAACACACTCGCCCACGAAGGGGCCTTGCCATCTGGAAAGCAAGCACCACCCACACAAGGCGGCCATTCAGCCAGACATTTTGCCCAAACCTGCACAGCTTTCTCAATCAGGAACCCGCCAAGTCCTTGCACCGCGGGCCCCATGCCCGCCTGCGTTCCCCGGATGAGAGGCCACACGCTGGCAAACCACCAAACAATTTGGATGCTAAACTAAAAGCCCTGCCCACTAGGGGAAGTTCCAGGACGCTTCAGACGGACAGCTCCACCGCTCAGGCGTCCTCAACTCCGCTCGCAGCTGGCAACGCACCTGTTAGTCACATCTCGTCCGTTTGAGCGCCGTTCATGGCCGGTGGAGGAACGTACCTGCCACGGCATCACATTCAAGCACGGTTTAACAGCACTTCAAGGGCAACAGAGGGAGCAACAAGCAGGCAACAACTGCAGTGTCATAAAACAAAGAACACGTGGAACATGAACGCCACCACGTGGATGTAGATCGGGCAGCAGCCAGGCGCCCAGCAGAAAGATGCAGGAAAGTAGGGGGAGCAAACGCTGGTGCAGGGCTTCAGCCGCTCATCGCCCTTTAGCGCCTGGGCTTCTGCCAAGCGCACGTATGCAGCAAAGCGATCATACACATTACACCACTGTTGAAGCTTCCCGCGTGATAGGAGGCCTGGTTTGACGCGGGCAGCAAAAAGATCATTTTGGTTCGATTCTATTTTTTTTTGATTCGTTTGGCTTTTGCGATTGTCATTATTCTGCACATGATGGGGTGCTTTCAGCACCTCCTGTCAGCCCACACCTCAACGGAATTGCGAACGCCCAGTATGGCTCCGCGTGACGACGGCAGGGAATGCACCGATGGGAGGTGCGTGCGTACATTTGTAAGAACACTGGCACACAACGCTCAGGAGCATATGGGCCAGTGGTGTGGCATTCAACTGTCGATACACACCCGTCATGCACAAACGTTGCGTGACACAAGCGTAACACTCTCACACAACCCGACACACAGCGTAACACCCCTGCCAGTCAAGTTCGGCAAAAGCATAGTACGGGTGCTTTGAACTTGTGCCCACTGTACCTGAGGGGGTGTTACTCCGCGCCACGTTGAGACAAAAAAGGAAAATAAAAATCAAACTAAAAAACCAAACAACGGAAAAGAATCAAAAGCGCAAAAGTGCAAAAGTACAACGTACACAAGCACAAAGATGCAAAAACACAAAAAAAGCATCAAAGAAAACATACCTGCCCTCCGCCGCCACGTGTTGCTCGTACGCATTTCGATTTCCGTTGCTGCCCACTTCGCTGTCGGCTAACGGAGGCGGCCGCGGGCCAAAGAGCGCCAGGAGCACTGGCAACAGCACCAAGCCGTGGATGGCGCCCAGGATGACTAAGGCAAGGTACATTCGGAAGTAGTAAATCTCGAAGATCTGGGTTCTCGAGAACGCCAGCACGATCACGCCGATGAACTGCAAATGCAACCACAGGCAGCGGTGAACATTGGGATGCCACGTGAAAATCGATGGCAATCCAAAGAATATCGCATTTACCACTACCATTACGAATATGTCGCTGTTGCTGTTATTCCTAATACTAATATTACTCTTGCTTTTCCTATAATTATTACTTATTTTCTTCCACTATTTGTTGGTATTGTTAATATCATTGTCACCATTTCACAATATTTGTGATGGTTCTGAGGCTCAGCCGGTGGCCATTCGCCTGGCAGTTGCTCCTCTTTCACACCTTTGTGCGTTGCCATTCTAGTACATAACGCAACCGCAGCGCTGCTCGGACACTGTATGCCCGCAACAGTGCTCCAGCCTCTGCGTACGCGGCCCCCCTCCCCCAACACTTCAGTGCATCAGCGTCACCACAGTACTTAAGCCCGCCACCGTGAGCCTGGCGAAAGGCCTTGCCTCGTCAGCCCAGTGACCTGCACGCAATCAAAGTAATCGGGTACCGTTTTGTAGACAATACTCCAGCGCACACCACAGTACTTTAGCACACCCGTTACCAGCACATCGGCACGGCAGCCATTTTGTCGGCCAGTCCTTTTCGTGAAGACCCCAGGCTTTGCAGCAGTTGATGCTTCCCAAGCCCCAAAGACTGGGGGAGTCGCACATTCTGCACCAGCACGCCCACCTTGATGATGTACTTTAACCAGCACTTCACCACACACCACAGTACCTTAGCACGTACGGGCCGGCACACCCATCTTGGTGAGCGTGCCGCTGCCGCCGACGGCCGCGCCCACAGCCTCCAGGCGACCAGCATGCAACCAACGGCGTTGGGATTCCATACTTTAGACAGTACTTCAGCACACGTCACAGTACTTAAGCACAGAGCTGCCCTTCACATCCACCTTGGCGAGCGTGATTCCGCTGTCGACCGCCGCACCCATAGCCACAAGCCCAAAGTATGCAATCAACGGCACTGGATGACGCACTTAGGCAGTACTTTACCACACCCACCTTGGTGAGCGTGATGCCGCTGATGACCGCCGCGCCCACGCCCTCCAGCGCCCCTGCCACCCGTGCCGCCCGCGTGCCTGGCATGTTCACGAAGGCGTGCGCCACGTGCACGCAGAACTCCACTGCGATGCCCACCCCCATGGTCAGGTTCACCACGGACACCCCGTTCAGCTGCACGCCCCACAGCCGCATGGCGCCCATCAAGTCCACCAGCGTCATGGCCACGCACAACAGCACCAAGCACGCAGCGCCGAAGCTGCCCAAGACAGCCCAACAAACCAGCGCGGAGGTTAGCATGGTGAGCAGCAGTACATAAGCCGCCCTGGCGCCAATGTGCAGGTAGGACTGGAAGAAGATGTGGAACGTGGAGTAGGCGTAGATGTCCATGCCCAGGGTTGATCTCACGGAATCGACAAAGGCGTAGGTGTCTGACAAGGAGTCGATGAATGCGGCCTGTGAGTTGAGGGGCGTGTAGGCGGCGCGGAAGCTGGAGGCCACGATGGTGCCGTTGGAGAGGCCAGCGATGCCGGTGGGGTCGGCGGGGTCCCTCTGGATGCTGTCCGAGTAGGCTGCAGCGCCGGCCTGGGAGCAGTTCTCGTTGGGAAGGGTTGACAGGAACCAGGGCAGGAGGCGCTGGAACTCGCTCACGTTGGGCCGGCTGCCTACGTGGGGTATGTAATTCAACACATGAATAAGTGTGGCACTCAAAAGATAGATAAATAAATAGATAAATAAATAAACAAATGAATAACTAAATAATAATAATAGTAATAAATAGACATATAAATAGCCAAACAAATACATAGACAAATAAATGAATAATAAATAACTGATTACACACATCACTAAACAAGCAACAAAATGGGTAGAAAGTGTGGGAAAAAACTGTGGGTATGACGCGGTTTGGTTCACTTTCCACCCATTAGGTATCACTGACGCTCAGTATTCAGTGATGCAGGATAAACGCCTTTCAAATACACGGTCCGAACGTCATCTAAATTCATTGTAAGTTTCGCAGTGCATGCGCACAAAAACAGCGCACGGGTTTTCAACATTCCGCATCAGAATTCAGCAGCCTGCCGAGTACTAAGTGCCCGTTTCACATGCCATGAATCTGCGCGGCGTTTGTTAGATGCAAGAATTCAGTGGGCCATTCCTGATCTAGTGCCACAGGGCCTTGGAACCCTGGTGCGCTTTCTGACACATGTGCGATGTGCGTGGGCTCGCGTGGGACACGGGGATTGAGGGCTGGGATTGATTTTTCTTCGCTACATGCACTGAACACAGTCCACGGGGATTTACTACTCGTGCCAGCTCACCGAATTTCATGGGACAATAGGGTGTGGCGACATGGGACCATGAACAATCGATTCCGACCAACTGTCCGCTTGGTTTTCATGCCCGTCATCGCCTACCACATGCGCGGGCTGTGTATTGTCATTCTGTGACAAATGCAATCCATGGATTTTGATGGTGACTAAGCGCGTGTGCATGAAGCTGCTGAAGATCTGGTACTATTGACGCGAATGAACACCGGCGCGAGTGCGGCGCGTCACCTGCTGGAAAGCCTCCTGTGATGCACTTCTCGCAGCCATTGGCGTATTCTCCTTCCACGGCCAGGCACTGCTCGCCGGTCTGCGGGTCCAGGTGGCAGCCGTGCTTCAGCTGCGGGCTGATCCACAGCATGAAGTCGTCGATCCAGGACGCCGCGGAGGACTCCAGGTGATAGAGGTGCTTGGACTTGGACTCAGATATCTGGACGCCCGCACAGCGCCATGAGTTTCAGTCGACTTGAAATGGTCTGCCGTGAAATACTCAACATGAAAAGATTTTGCCTCTATGCTTTTTGCTCCGCACCCTTGTTCTCACAAAAAAGGCCAAGCGTCATGCTACCATGCGGAAGGGTTTAGTATATTTCGGTACTTTCTTGCCTGAATCTGCTGTTGTTTATTGCAGTGGGTCTGACAGCTGAACTAGGTCGACTGAGAGGAACCTGGGCTGCAACTTGCAACTGCATTCAATTTTCTAATTGAATCGATACTCACAAAAGGCAAACTGACCAAATTCGAGGAGACGGCGTTTACAGAGACCGCAGCCAGGACGCGCTGGTGACATCTTATGCCAATTGATTGGTCAGTGCAATCCATCGAAAAATTGACTACTTAGTCAGTTGCTCAATTGATTGAAACCCACATTTCAAACACTCTAGATTTGGCTTGGACACAAACGCAAAGCATCCAAAAAACAGGCATTCCAACAGACCAATTATAAGACGCCACACTCGCGCCTCGGTCCATTGGCCCACCTGCGCCATGAGCGAGTTTGGCTTGCAGCCCGTGCCCCCACATATCTTGTCCACGTCCGGCGAGCCGGGCACCACGTCCATGTCCCGCACCACGAACAGCACTGGCGGACCCACCCTCAGGAACTCCATCTGGTCCCCGAAGTACTGCTGCAGGTAGGAGTCCCGCGGCAGCGCCACCTGCTGCTCCAGGCCCTTGGACAGGCGGGAGGTGAGCGACAGCGAGGCGAAGAACATGGTGGCCGTCAGAACCAGCACGGCAGCCTGGACGGGCGGCCTCAGCAGGGCGGGGGCGTGGACCTGGGGGAGCAGGCGCGGCCAATGGAGCTGAAGGGCTCCCTTTTTCTTTGGAGAAACCAAAGCGCCAACCAGTGCTGCAGGATATTGCTCCCTTGCAAGAATAAGCGCGCCGAATATGCTACCTAATTGTTTATTGAATCGTTAAATTACACAGCCAGTTATTGAAACCTGCAGGCTTTCCTTTCCTGTGCTACAGACAGGCGCGAAGGCCAACGCCGCAGGTTTTCCTTTTCTTTGCCAGAGATGGCCGCGAGCAGCAGTCCTGAAGGTTTTCCTTTTCGCCTTACAAATCGCTGCGGCAACCAATGCCAGTCTCCTCAGCGGTTGGCTTCGTAGAGTTCGGGCCGTCGGCCTGCACGAGTACGAGCTTGTGGATAATTTGATGGTGCGTGGCGGCGCACAGTGCAAGCGTTGAGGCCAAGGGCACATCTGGAGCATTCGCACAGATATCGGAAACGTGCGTGATCGTTGAAGTTGCATGCAGCGGTTATTCTCTTGACTGTTGCAAGTAAATGGACGGCATGCATCAATGTGGTTTCCGTGCCGTCAACCGCGGCAGGTTCCATGCTCAGTTCAAGCAGCACCGCCACTGCGTCGGCACAATCTCCCAGGGCGACCTGCGGCCTGTGAGGGACGGATCTTCGGCCATGACTCAGCAACAATGCCGGGGTTGGAGCCAACGAAGCCCACATGGGCATTCCAACCTCTCTTCGGACATGCTAAACTCTCCCTCCACTTTTTGTTGTTGTTTTTTTCCCAGCCGTTGTGTTATGCATCCTTTCAGGAAAGGGTGATACGCGCAAGTACTGTAAAGTACTGAACCTTGTAACACTATCTCCAAAAGCCCCGGCGTCGCTGTGCCACGCATGGGGGCGTTTAAATGCCACGGGAGTACATGGCTGCATAATCATTATGCATGTAGTGATTGCAATACAATTCGTATTATGATCATTATGCACATAATGACTAAGCAGCCCTGCCATTGAATGCCCTGAAAGTTAGACGCCCATGCGTGCACCAGGACATCCCCAATTTCGGACCCAAGGCCGAACTGCGCACCCCCCCTCAAATCACCTTTGAGACGTAGGTCTGGAGGAGCATGCGCGGCGGCTCTGGGTTGGACCCCTGGCTGGGCGTCCCGGAGTCCACCACTGCGTACATGGTCTCCTCGGCGCAGGGGTCGCCGAGTTTGATGCACGGGAAGCAGTCTGCGCGATGGGACTCAGCACGGTAGGTGTCCAGGGTCAGTAGGGCCGCGAACACGGTCACCTGCGAGCAGCAACAAAGTGCACGCGAAGGTCGAAAACGCCGCAAGGACTGCGCAAGGGACACACGGAGAATGCACAGAGGGTGTTCAAAGAAACCCCAATCGCGTGTCAAAGAGAGCCATAAGCAGTCTTGAAATGTGGACAATAGTGCACATCTTAGCGTCTCAAAGATATCTCATATTTGCAACCGCCTCGGATGCGGTGCATGAAAGGATCCAATGCGCTGTGAAGGCGCGGTAGTATCGCCACTCTTCCTCCCACTGCATTGACTGCTCATTAAATGGCATTACAATAAATGGTATTGCATGTCTTGTGCGCCAGGTTGCCAATCCTTGACAGCAGTGAGCTCAGCGGAAACCCAATGCTTCAATAGCGGTTCAGTCCCTGTACTACTAACAGCACTCATACTTATGATGCATCACCAAGCCGCACGCGCTGCTCTTAGCAGCAGCACCTAATAATTGGGGCTGAGATTCAGCCATGCGACGCCACACCACTCAACGGGTGCTGCAACATTCGCATACGACACTTAGTAACCAATGTGACACACTAAACGGCAGAAACAGCGCTACTCAGGGCACAACTCCTGGGGCTCAGCCACGAGAGGCGACCCTCAACAAGGCCTCCATCTTCCTCGCCCTCAGGTCCGTTGATACAAAACAGAGCCAAATACACGGTAGAGACAGCGCAACTTGCTCCCACTTAGACAGCAATTCGAACACGGTTACATACTCAGGCGCTCATTCACATACTACGCAAAACGCGCAACCATTTTTGTCCAAGGGTAGCTTTTCTGGCGTGCACCTGAAGGATGAAGTCCAGCAGCAGCGCGATGGCGGCGCAGATGCTGAAGCTCCGGACCGCAGGCACGGGCACCAGGGCCGCCAGCCCGAAGGCCAGGACCTCCGCGGCAGCGGCGAGCGTCACGGAGGGGCCGCTCACGGACATGGCCTCGCCCATGCGGATGAACAGGGGCACCGCGCGATTCTGCATGGAGCACAGGGGCGTCACTGCCGACTGTGAAATATGGCACCAAAGGAAGTGCAACTTTAGTGTGACAATTTTCATCTATTTTGTTGATGTGTGGTTTGTGTCGCTTGTGCATGGTTTCAGAAGGCTCACGGTGTTGAAGCCTTGCTGGCGGCATCTTGAGCCGAAAGCCATGCTCGTGAACAAACACTGGGAGTTTAAACACAATACATGCCTGGGACTATCGCCCGACATGGCCAGTTTGGTGCAAGGGCCTTTGATTTGTCATGTGAAAAATGTAAATAAAACGAGGATGCACGTGGTGAAGCGGGAATGAAGGTTTCGGGAAGATAGGTATTTGTGGCAGGGTTGAGGGCACCAGGCTATTGAACTCCGCAATTTGGAAGTCGCAGTATTTCTACTACAAAGCACAGATATACATATAGATGCAAACACGAACACGGATACAAACAGACATTTGCATTTTCACACATATTTATATTGACATTCATACATTCAAATTCATGCTTACGCCTATTTGAGTTCCTAACTTGAAATACCAGTCCCTGGTTTTACAATTTTCATGATCAGTGCTGGCAAAGGCGGTGGCACCAATACGGAAACCGGATTCTGGATCAGTCGCAATGGAAATGCCAACTGCTGCAATACAGTTGTACCAAAGTTACTTTCAAAAAGGCTTCCAGAACGCGTCGACCCCCTGGCATCCCCCGTTCTCCCGACCTGGTGGTGCAGCTCGTAGGCCATGATGAACATATTGTCCACGCCCACCGCCAGCGTCAGGAAGGGTATAACCTCCATGATGATGAGCGTGGCCTGCACCCGCATCCAGCCGCACAGGCCCAGCGCACCCACCACACTGCCGGCCACGATGACCACGCCGCCTGCGCCCAGCATGAAGCGCGTGGCCACGGCCATCTGGCTGGCGTGCTTGATCTGCTGTGGGATGGAGCTGAGGGCCAGGGCGATGTAGGCGAACATGACGAGGTATGAGATGGCGACAGTGCGGACGTCGGCACCGCTCTCGCGCTGCAGTTCGTCCTGGACAGACCTGGGAAGGAGCACAGGAGCAGGGTCGGTTGTTTGCGAATGTGTACAACTGCCTAGGAAATACGAGCAATCACGAGCAAGTTGCACAGTGAATCGTGGCAAGAATCTTATATTTGGACATGTACTCCAGTCTTAAGACATATGCAGATGTACAACATTAAGACGTATACTTACGTATTAATTTGGTACATTCAGCGCTGTGCACGTTTTGGCCAAGGGCACAACAGCAGTTTGGCTTTCTGATGTGCATTTGCCCAGGAATAAGCTTTCAGCCAAAATGCGGTTGTATCAATGTATGTGTGGCTTCCTTGCGATGGGTAGCCAAAGGCCACCGCCCACAACACAACGCAGTCTTGAACAGTGTGCATAAACGTACGGACTTGATTGAAGACGGCATCGCAACTGTGGCCCAACGTGATGCACGTTCTCAGACCATGGTATTAACACCAGGGTGCGCACAATGCCAATGAATTAACTACACGAGACAACACAATGTGGTGTTGGCGCTTGCTTGGGTAGTTTGAAAACAATGTAAAACTGCACACACTGCCTTTCGTCACTTGGTGTCTGGATAGCATATTCCAAGAGAGCCAAATGTTACTGCGCCAGCACAAAAGAAGCTTCCAACTCCAGTTGAGATTGTGCCAGGCAAGGGCGCATAAGGGCTACCTCTTTTCACTGCGGCAGTGCCTGTCTCTTGCGACTTGTGCAAATTCGTGAAATTCGTTTCGCATGACTGCCCTTGGCCACCTGTTCCTGTCCTCCAGGAGCAAGCACAGCAATGAAACAGCACGACAGGTACATCATCACAACATCCACATAAATCTCTACAAATTATGAATGTATTTTGTGCACAGTCGCAACATCTTTGCAATGTCCACAGGGATCATGCACAAATGCATTCGCCCATCACCTCTCGCTGTAGAACGATAGCGACACGTTTGCTCCCCGTGCCATCGCCTCCAGCTCGCTCTTGGCCAGCGATATGAACTCCGCCTCCCATGCCAATGCTGCGTCCCGCACTTCGATGCTGCTGTTCAGAAGGAAAGTCACAACGAAGGCGCTGGAGTCGTCCGCCAAGTCGCTGGCCTTTGTGCCCGATGAGAAGCCTCCCAGCACAATCTTTGGATCTGGGGAAGCCCCAAAACAACGCCGTGAGAATATTTCTTGTTCATTCACAGTGACGAAGAAGTCATTTGGCACAAGCTGGACCCGACCTTGAAAAGCACCCTTCAAGTATGCTTTCCCCGTTCCTAGCGCGCTCTTGCCTACTCTTGCTCAATCGCAAGCCATGTGCTTAACCATCAAGATTCCATTGCCACAACAGCGGCTTTCTGACTCGCACCAAAAGCAAACAAAACCACAACATCGAAACCGTGAACGATCAACAAAGCAGCGGAGCACACCTATCGTCACTTCTAGTTCTTTGAATCTACTTATGTATCGGCCAATCGAGACTTCTGCAGTAATCCGCATTTATACGTCAAACAAAGTACAACTCTATTCTAGTTAGTTATTCGAAATTTATAACCAAGTTAATCCAAACATTGCAATAGTCCACCTGTTGCCTGCAATCTAACATGTGCATCGTCAACTCGATAAAGGCTCCATTTCACGACCCCACCTACCCATGGGCGCCCCAAAGGCACTGTAGCACGACCTTGGCCACTCCTGAATGCAAAAGCTCATCTTGTCATGGCCGTCCTTGCGGCCCATGGGCGTCACCTGCTGCTCCCAAACTGAGCGGTTCATCTGCCAGTACTGCAGAATACTCTGGGAGCCGCAGACATCCCCTGTGGGCTTGAAGCACACATCGTTGAGCGTCACATTGTGCGCTGCCTCCCCCTCGCCGACCGTTGCTGTGACACACAAGGCGAATGTGCTCGTGAGGATTTGGGCAGCACCCGAAACACCCAAAGTGTGTCTATCTATAAACATCAAAGAAAAGTTGAAACAAAAGAATGAAAAAGGAAAGATAAACAACAGAAAACTGTAGTTGCTCCATGCAATACTGATTGTCGTCTGTGATTCTGGCACCTCAACTATCCATCATGCACAAGTCAGTGTTCAATGAAATTTCAACCAAAGTTGTGGGCTGGAGTTTGAGGTCAATCCATTAAGTATTGAGGATTTACAGGAGTGTATAACAAGGGTCCTCGAGCCAGAAAATCACGAATTTTCGGCGTGAATGAGAAAATGGCAGTTTTTGTTGTTTTTAGGAGCAGGCCTGCATGGCAGTGACACAAAGCAACTAATGCAATCCACGCTGATGAGCCTAGAGGTTAGCACAAAGCTTGCAAAGACATAAGGCGATGGAGAATGCATCCAGAAAGACATGACTGTAGAATTCGCCATGGCTCACACTTCCACTTCAAGCTCAATCTGGTGGATCGGAGCTGCGCTCCAGGCCCAAAATCCTGAGCCGGGATTTTTCAACCTCTATTGCCACCATCAAGGCAACTGCGGGAGGTCTTCCAAACACCTCGACAAGGTGCGAGGGAAGGCGATGACCAGCACCCCGATCAAGTGCGGATAATCAGTAAATTGGCCATTGTGATGGGAATGGCAAATCGACCATGTTTCGGCACTTCGGCACAAAAAGGAATGGGCGCCAAGGAAATGTCTAAAATGGTGTAGTTGTGTCTCTTGACGCAATTGAGACTAGCTCAGTTGTGGATGAATTGTGCACTGCACACAAGAATTGGCTGCTAGCAGCCACTTGAGGATTCTAGTTGCACGCGAAAGCCTAGACCCAAACATTATTGAGACAGGACGTCCAAGCAAGGCTATAATGCACAATTCCACCATGAGCAGAAAAGGCCAAGGTTGAGAACCTTGATGTCTAGGTCCAGAGCAACCTGTTGCTTCAAGGCCGTTTTGGATATTGAAAACAACACACATTTCCAGCATCGTTGATGCCATGATGATGACCATCTACGACAAGGATCCATGCACAATGCTTGTCAAACATGTTGGTACATGTTGAGAGCACCATCGCAAAAGGGCATCACCATGGCGTCAATGATGCCAAAAATCTGCATCAACCTTGATCTTCAATGCGTGGACCTGAAACGATTGGATGCCAAATCCAAGGCGTTAAAGTCTGGGCTATATGCGAGTTGTAGCTCCAACTTACATTGCCGCATTGCTTGGACGGTCAGCCTCTCAATGTTTGAATCAAGGCTTCACACACAACTCTCCCACAATTGACAGATTACCACTAGCGACTGACTCTTGTGGGTGGTCCACAATCCATTGCAGCCAAGTGAGTGCTTGTGACGTCAAGAGATGTGGCTCTATCCATCTAGCTAGACTCCTTGCAGCCAATCCTCTCAAGTGCCCACAAAGGGTCGAATTTGCCATTCCCATCCCCGAGGCCATCCCCCACATCGCCCGCCGACGATTAGGGTGATGGCCACCACCTTCCCTCGCACCTCGTCTGACGGGCTTGGCAGGGCCCCGTTGTATCCTTCATAGTGGCAATGGAGGTTGAAAGTCGTGGCCCAGAAATCTGGGTCTAACATGCATCTCCGATGCAACTTATCGATCTTGAATTGTAGTCCAAAGTCACAATGACTCTTGCGATTAAGCCATTTAAGACACGTTTCTTACTGCCTAGCTTCTTCGCAAGCACCTCTCCGATCTTTTATCCGAATGCTGTGGATAGTTTTGCATGGGTGGCTATGTTTCGCCGTGGCTAAGGCATGGTCCTCCTAATCGCAAAGAATAGCCAGTTTTTTCGCAGCCACGTCTAAAAATCATGTACTATTTGTCTGAGGACCACATTACTTGATGGATTGACTTGAAATTTTGACCTTACACTCCCAACTCACGGGTATTTCATCAAAAACCGAGGGACTCTGTTCAGTGTGAAGTGACGCACCAAAATCATAGAGGACAATTAATTTGGGATGAAGGAAGTATAACAAAACCAAAATATATAATAGACTTCTTATTACACCCTTAGAAAAGTAGCGGTACAAGCAAGTGTGTCAAGCACTGAGCCCAAGACCACTTTTCCCCAAAACAGGCGTATCTTGCTCCCAAACAGGATTCAAGATTCGCCAAAGGGCATGCATGGATCACCTTGGGGGCATTGAATCTGCCGCTGATGCTGCCTTTAGATTGTCAGAGTTCAGGAGTACTGAACGGCCTGCTTATGGTGCAGCATTTTGGCACATACTTTCAGAGCCGTGGATACTGTTGTATGCTTTTGTTACCATCAGTAAGTAACGCATGCTTTTGGTACCGTTTACAGTACTTCGGTACAGTGGTTAGTACCGTACACCAATAGTGCCGTGCACAGTACATGTGTGCAGGATTGCAAAGACCGGACAGTGCAGCATGCGGCATGTTCGTTGCTTGATAAGTGGCTGATGATATGCCGTGAATACCCTGTATCAGATCTGCTTGGTGCTGATTCCGCACTTCAGCAATCTATAATATACAAGAAGCTTATAAACCACAATATGAATGCACCAAAAATCAAGACTGGGCGTTACTTTGCTGCGAACAAGATACACAACAAGGTACAAGATAGCAGGCATGAAGCTGACACATTGGCGAATGGTGGCAGTCCACGACGCCCGTCATTTATTTTAGTTTCCTTTCATCTCAGGATTCAATTATGCTTGCTCACAATTTATGTTGATTTGTAGCAAACATGTCTGGCAACGTCCAGGGCGAATGCAAACAGCGCCCCACGCTCCCAAGCAAGGGGAAAGCAAAGTGATTCGTCACGTCTCGACAAATGCAATGATGACTCATGCACAGTTCACAGATCCATGCACATTGATTGATTGTGCGCATAGACGGTGCCCTGTCGATGGCAATGACAGAAAGCTCAGAACAGGCACATGCAAAATAGACCAGCATGCGAAATTGTTTCCTTGACCAGAGGATGGCCAGTCGGCATTTGATGACAAATGCCATCGACGAGAATTCATGCGTCTTTCGCGGATTCATGCACATCAACGAATCGAGCAATTGTGGAATTTGATGGACCCTACCTTGTATGCCGTCGATCTTGTCTTGGATGTCGAACATGAGGTCCACGTAGCGTCCCATGCCGATGCTTGGCAGCCCTGATGACGTCATCTTGTCGGAGATGCTGTGCGGCGTTGTCGACACTATGAAGTTTTCCACCCTGCATAGTGCAAAACTGCTGACGGCCATTGCTGACGACCACCAAATATCATAGTGGCTGCCACTTTCTTTATTTATGTCTTCATATCATTTCAACACTCGTTGTCATAACTATTGTTTTGTTATCAACTTCACAAGTACAGCTGCCAAACAAATTTGTTCATCACCTTCGTCAACACTGCCGCCCTTACGTGCATCTGACGACGTCCGACGACGTGCACAGTTCACAAATGCAGATCCTGTTTGCCAGCAAGCTTTGGCTGCACCGGTGGACTCTTGCCCGCCCCAACAAGCTTGCACGATGCAGCCCAGTACAACACAGGACGGCGCCCAAAGCTCCAGTACAATGCAGTACAATACAATACAGCACAGTAGTGTTTGTTGTACAGGACACCATTGCACAGCATTACCAGACAGAGCACAACTGACATAAGCAACAATGTGCAAATGAGAAGAAAGGGCCCCTTGCGCAATATGCAGCACTGCCCGTACACAGACACAGCAGCCTCCCCACAATGTCGCATGTCTTTTGGATTGTGCCAATTGCGCTGTGCGCTTTGCGCCATTTTCTGTCCACTTCACGTCAGATTCACGACAGATTCGAACCAGTTTCGCCACCCCACTGCACCTGTAGAAGGGCCCGAACGATGCCTCATACGCCACCTTGTCCTTCCACGCCCGCGAGCTCTTGGACACCCACAGCATCTGGGGGTCCGTCTCAACTGTGAACCAGACCAGGCCCGTGGCGCACAGCCCCACCAGCACAATGCCCCCCAGGATGGTGATCAGTGGGTTGCAGGCCACAAACTCCCCCTGGGCCAGCAGGTCAGGATAATCGGGACACAACAGTTGCAAATGTACTGCTTCAACCAAACGATTGGTAGAATTGAGTGGACACTGGGATAACAGTAATGACGGTGAGCGACAGCAGCCCTTCTGGTCAGGTGGGTACGCAACCAAGCTCTTGGTGAGCTGAGCTTCTCGCTGAGGAATGCAACTGATAATTGTGTCCATTTTGCCTGAGAGGGTGGTGAACGTGCTTGGGGACAAATTTGGCCCCTACAACGAATGCAGCCATGCTCGACGATGTCCTCATGGTCTTCGCAAGTCATGCACTGCTGGTGCGCAAATTTCAGCGTGGTGTTTCTTTACTTTAATGCTTATCAATCAACACAACTATTTGAGCAACGTCAGCAATAAAGTACGCACTTCACACGACCCAAATGTGCCAAGCGACCAAGTCCTTTGCAGTCGTTTCAATGTCCGAAAGTGCAGAAGCCTTAGAAGAAGGGGCGGGAAACAGGCATTTGGGAAAGCGGTAGAAGCAAGTACTACAAAGTACTAGGTTACTTTCCACTTTTGCCCAATGTGTGTTAGGAGACAGTGCTCAAGGTGAGCATCGCAGATGTAGCAAGTCCTGAGCCCAGTTCCTGTCCACAAGATTTGTCAAATTTGCAACAGGTGGGTGAATGTTTGCATACTGAGGGGCTGGCTGCCCGCCTGTACTTCACACCACCAAGGAATCATCAACCTTCAAGGCAAAGGCCCTTGATGCCAATGTCTCATCGGTGGATCGATTGAGTAGTTGATGGACCGACTCATGTGTGGAATGCACGCCCGCACCTGCCTCCTGAACCACCTCCTCAGCCAGTTTTCAATCGGCTTGTGGATGACAGGCAGGGTGATGGGCTGACCAGCCGCGAACATGTTGTCCCCGTATTCACTCCCAGCCTCGACAGATTGGCCTGTCAACGCCGAGGTAAATGAGAATGGACGAAAAGAGAAGCGTGTCATACAATTGGCACTTCGCATCCAGAGCGCATTTTTAGTTGTTTCATGGGCCTCAGGAGGCGACGGCTATGACGTATAGATCTTCAGCATGCCGGAAACTTGGTGCACAAGTGTCGAAGCACAGCTAGAGAGGTGGGTGCCAACATAACAGACATACATGCAATACTTGTTCTCACTCATGAGCATATGCCTACATTCTGACGTAGCTGATGTATGAATGGGTAGCGCTGCATTTGGTGACACAAAGCTGTTGTGAGCTGACACACCACCTACTGAGGCAACGCACTGATATAAAAAAACGTACAAAACAAACAAAGAAGCAAAACAAATGTTGAAAAACATACCACATATACTTGGGATGTGACAGCCACCAAATACATTAGGTGAAGACCCAGAAACTGGTTTTTCTGTGCTAGGGAGAAACCGTCCATGTGTTAGCTGATGAGCTCCTTCCACCATCTGTAATTAATAATCGATGACTAGTGATTGACTATTGCACAATAATGGAGGAACAACATCCCTGGGACAAGTTCTCCCATTTGTCAAATATTGTTCAGTGAGTTTCCTCTGGGCTGGCACAAGTCTTGTGCAGCCCTGCGCATGATCCCAAGAGAATTGTGCTGCATGCTATACAGTTGACCTGTTTCTCCAACACCACTTACACATCAAATACATGACACACACACAATTTTCTCAATCCTACCACTTCAGTCCTTTCCACCTCAGATGGCCACCACCACTCTTACTGGTAAGCCAGTGCTGCCAAACCACCACCATCCTGTCCAAACTGTTGCCAGCAAGCTGTCACTGGCACTCCCAAGCCGTCACCATGAGCCTGTTGCTGCCATACTGTCACTATCATGCCCACCTGACGCCGTGTCCACTGGCAGCAGGGGCTCGTACATGTGCTTCAGCTGCATGCCTTTCCTCACCGTCGTCAGCAGCACAGCCGCCACAATAATGTACAAGGCGATCACCGACAGGTCCCAGCAGCTCACGACAGAAGAGCCCAAGCCAAGGGCTGAACAGCCATTCGAAGACCCTGAGCCATCCTGTCCTGAAGGGAAACTCTGCAAACACACCAGCAGTGTTGCGGGGTCTGGCATCTACTTGAATGGGCCGAGCAGCGGTGCTGTTTGGATGCTGCTGCGCCCATTGTCTCCTTCTGAGGTGTGTGGGCTGGTTTTGGTCATGTGCGTTTTGGACAAATGGAACAACCATGACTCTAAACCAGCCATGTTTTGCCCACTCTGCTTGTGAGCAAACTTTGGCAGAGTGTGAATGCAGACTTGTGTCATCTGTCACAACACTGTATGGAAATGCAGTTGAGTCACCTTGAGATGCAAAGCTGCTGTTGGCCACATAGCAGACCTCTTCGCGCCTTGGACAGTGTTCATATGCGGGACCCAGCAGGTTTGGTTCCGCAAGATTTGTATGAATTGTCATTAGAGTGACAGCCCCAAAGTGATGCCCACATGTGGGCAGTCAACAGTGAGAGATTCCGGAGACATCACACCACAAGGTCATCTGGCACGACGATGTGTTGTTGATTAATTATTTTGGCCCTTTCACTTACAGCATTGGATGATGCCAACCTGGTCTTATGCACCAACAGCGAGGCATCCCAAGATCAACGAATGCACAGATGCTGCCCATTCTTCAACAACCGATCATAAAAACCTTTGTGTACGCCATGCCACTGCAATGCCGAATCGAGCAGCATTCAGTGCGACTGCTTGTTGTTTAGCTTGGAATCAAAGCATAGAATTACAATCAGCAGCAAGTTCCATTGATGTGTCATATTAAAACAAACAAACAAGACACAGTCATGAGGGAACACGACCAGCAAAGCAAATGCCAGCAGCACACTCACTGCTGCACAGACAGGAGCGTCGGGGCAGTCCACACACGAGCATTCAAAGCCCCGAGTCCAGCACTGGGGGCGGTCATCGTCGACGGCGACCATCCCAGGCGGCGCATCCGAGGCCGGAGGGAACATGAGGTGGTAGGGGGCATTGCCGCCAGCCGTTGAAGGCGTCCCCAAAAAGTCGAGGAAGGCCTGGCTGTTGGCTGGGTTGCCCAGAAACATGAAAGCGGGCAGTGTTGTTTGGCCCAGGGTGACATTCTAGGCTCACAGACACACAGCACGTGGTTGGTGACCGGCTGTGATGGTTGCCAAGGGGGCTGTTAGCGTCCAGGGATCCATGCCGTAATGTGCCACACTTGTTCGCAACTTGTTTGAAATTCTATGCAGAAAACTGTCTGTTGGCGGAATATAAAGTTGTCCACTAATAGCCACCATGGCATAGAAGACATTCCTCTTGATACATAGTAACTCTAACCACACCTATTTATAATACATTTTGCCTCATATAGCAGTGTATAGTAGTATTAGCATCATAAGATACTGTGAAAGGTACATGTCCCAACACTCCCACTTGCATTCCTACCCTCTCCAAAGCTCCTGATCTCAAAATGCCGATTAAGACAATAGGGCAGTATGAAACACACAAGATCGGTGCAAATGCCTTACCTTGCAGGAGTTGAACAGAGTGTTCTTGAAACTGTCAGTGAAGTAGTATTTAGCCTGCAAATGATGACAGGAACAGCTTCACAGCAGGCACTGCAGCGACACAAGCATGCGGAAACAATAGGATAATAGCACTCAACGACAGAAGAGAATAGAGGGACAACGAGGCAAGGGAGAAATTGCAGCAAACACACTTGTAAATTGAGGACAGCATCTGGGCACTGCTCACAGGGCTGATGCAAGGTGATGCCAGCATCACCTTGCGGGGCCATGGTCAGCGACTTGTTGCATATGGAAACACAGAATTGACAAGAATCAGAAGGGATGTTTGTGAAGATTCGATAACCTGGGCTCAGATTGTTTGGTTCAATGAAGCATAAGAGGCACTTCGAAGCACATTGAGTGTTGCAAAGCGCAGTGGAAACAACACACAAAGCATGTGCCTCGCGTTCACTATTACACACTGTGCAAAATCAAAGGCTAGCAAGGGCCTATGGCACTCAAATGTGCATGTTCTGCACAACTGGTGTACACATTGCACGGAACTACAGACCAGGCAGCGGTACGTTGCTGTCAGGTGTTGAAAATCCACAGAAGGTTCCAAGAAAAGGTAAGCTCACCTCCTTCACTTCTGACTGGCCAGTCAAATGATTGGTCTGAAGTGCAGTGACATTCATGTATGTAGACTGGTCCGGCGAGCAGGACACCACACACCAGAGGTGTATGAAATTGGACATGCAAGCAGGGCAGCCAGCAAACAGGTTCTCGGCCTGGGCCATCTGTTCCAACCATTGCAGATTGTCAGATCAAAGCACTGGAGTCTGGTGTTGTGGTCTGGCGAGCAGGACACCACACGCCAGAGGTGTACGAAATTGGACATGCAAGCAGGAAAGCCAGCAAACAGACTCTCGACCTGGACCATCTGTCCCAACCATGGCAGATTGCCAGAACAAAGCACTAGAACCTGGTGTTGGGGTATCATGCAAGCAAAGCTGTGGCGTTGATCATGAGCAGTACACAAATCGCCCAGAGTTGCAACAATCTCCCGGCAATGCACAAGTCGCAAAGTGCACATTTATGCAGGCCACTATCGGGTTGATCTGGGCAGTTTATCCTGGATGTATCATGCCAGTCAGTGTGATAGAGCGGTCCACAGCCATTCATGAATTTGGCCACTCTTCCTTGAGGGTTGAATAGACATACAGCAGAAACCTTGAATTCAGGAGGCTAACAGTGGCTGAACATTTCTGCTCCTGTCATCGTCTCAACTGTGCAACGGCTCTGTGCATGAAAGAAAGCATCACTCAGGCAAATAAGTCACACAACAAGGCTTACATCAGCCCACAGTGCATCCAGCTGCTGCTCCGTGCAGCATGCTTTCCCTGTGCCTCCATACTGTGCCCACAAGGCAGGGCAGTAGTTTGCCAGTTTTGCTGCCATCGCATCCGACACATTCCTTGCTGGCGAGCTGTCGGGGCATGGGATGCCCTTGTCATTGCTGTCCTTTCCACAGTCGCCATAGACTGTACAGACGCCAGGGCTGTGGTCCTTGGAAAAACGGACAAATTGTACTTTATTTTTGTTGTGCATCTTCATCATGCTATGCGCTAGGAATCAACAAACTGTGGAAGAAAAATCACAAACTGGATAACTCCTTTCACACGAAATGTTCATGGACCATATCATATGTGCATGCTGAAGTTCATGGAAGCCACCATTGTACAGTTATCCCAGTGCTTCTCACAGGAATGCTGTGCTTGCTGAAACACCTGTGACACACCAAGCAGTTCCCTGTTCACCCAAACCAAAGAGCTAACAGGCCCCAAGGAGCTCCTGTATGTGGGATACTGGCCAACGCCATCAGCAGGGGCAGCAAAATGAGCACAAAGGGTCAACATCATGATAAGCAAACAGGAGGGGGAACAGTCCAAAAGCAGGAGACACATATGGTTGGCAGGCACGCACCATACACATCGGCTTCACAGGGCAGTCATGGCAAGCACACTCATAATTTGGGGTCCAGCACTGAGCGAGCCAGTCCTCTATTGGAACCATCCCTTTGGGGGTGTCTTTGGCAGGGGGGAATGAATGCCGGTATGAGGCACTGCCCCCATCAGTCGTGGGCATTCCCAGGAAATCTATAAAGTCCTGAGCAGTGGAAGGGTCCCCAAGGAACTGGAAGGCTCTTGCGTCTGTGCCGGGAATTGTCACGTTCTGCCAAGCAGCACGCCCCACACTGTTGTCCCGAAAAGAACAGAAGTGAACAGAATGCTGAAACAACAAAAGACTGCAGGGGTTGTAGACAGCCAAAACACAGAGAAATAAGAAAATGAGCATAAAAAGTGCATCTGACTTGGGGCCACCAATACATTGATCATGAAGATGATGCAGCAGGGCAGATGCCCAACAGAGGGGAAGTGCTGAAGGAAATGAAGTGCAGCGGAAAAGTGTGGAAAGTGATGAACAGAGGAAGTGAAGTGCACAACAATGAAAAGATTGCATATCCAGCCAGAGGTGCTGCATGCAGAGGGATAGAGTCTACAATTAAGAGGGCTGCATCGCCCTCCTGCAAAGAGGCTCACCTTGCAAGAGTCAAAAAGCTCCAACTTAAAAGCATCTGAGAAATAGTAGTCAGCCTGAAATTGTCACAAACAACATTTGGAATCAAACATCAAAGTTCTCAATGCACCACTGGCGAACAGAATGCTGAAACAAGTGCAGATTACAACAAGTTTTCTGCTAGTTATTTACAACATTCCATACACCTCACAAATAAACCAGGATCTCTGCATTTGGTGCAGGGGTTGCTTTGTCCTACTTGACAATTTGCTCACAAGGACTTCACAGCGATGGATGTGAAGGGGAAGAAGGTAAATGGCCTTTGAAACACAATGGAGGCAGCTCTTTGCTCAGCGACCACTTCACCCTGCATATCCTCATCTGCAGGCTCACTACCGTTTGGCCTTTTCTAATCCATAGGAAGCCCTCACAACAGCTTGACAAGAGCTGCACGACTCTTGTTTGGTGCCTAGCTCAACGTAAAAGGGACTTGTCCAGTGTATCAAGGATGTGGATCCTTGCCACCCATTCCGCAGCAGGTTGCAAATTCCAACATTGGCAATGCAACATTCAATAACATACAACAAAATTCCATAAATTCTCTGTGCAATGTACCCAGACTGGGAATCAGAGGGCCCCCAGTTATGCCCCAATCCAGGCACATTCAGGTATGCTGCAACCTTCAATAGCAGTGCCAGCATTTGTCTTGCTACTAATACCAGGGACTCGTTCAGCAACAATCAGGGGTCAACACCTGAGATGACCGATATGCACTGCATGTGAGGATGCTTCCCTTGGAGTCGTACATCATTCTTTTCTTTCCTTCATTTCTTCATGCTCTTTTCTAGTTTCTTTCCTTTTCCCACCTCCTTCAACTCAGTCACCCCCGTCAGTTCGTTCGGTCCAGCTCTTGTGACGTTCGTGAATGTTGCCTGGTCCGGGGAGCAGGCTTGCACACAGTGCAGGTGCACATAGTTGTGCAGGCACGCTGGGCAGCCCCTGAAAAGCCCACGAGCCTGTGAAACCTGGGCAGGCAGCAATTGGTATCAGAGATAGGAAGGGGGGGAGGGGGAAAGGGGGGGGAGGAAGGGAGGGAGGGGCTCAGCCCAAACTCAAAAGCACAAGGCTCCATTCTGCTGGCAATCGACTGAGCTCCCATGTTTAACATTCACCCATTTACTTATTCATTTATTTATTTGCTCGTTTATAATTTGTTCTTTTGTCTTTTGTTGATGTATTTACTTATTTTGTTCTATTTTCTAGCAGTATGACCACAAATCTGTAAACAACGAGGTATCCTTTGAGCAAGTAATAGTTGTGACTATTCTCATCAATTGATTGACAAGGACAGAATAATTCTCTCAGCTAGTTGCCCTTTTTATCGTTTGTAGATGTTGAAAAATCAAACCAGATGCTAACCTTGGGTCGATCAGGATTTACAAAACTGTGAACTGGACCCATGGACTACTTTCAAGGTCAATACAGGTTGATGGACTCAGCATTCCTGCATTCCACATTGTCCTTTCTGATACACTGTTGGGTCAAGAGCGTAAAGCAAAACCCTACACTTGTACTGCTTAACAATGCATGCCAGCTGTTGTCAATTCAATTGCCAGAAGATGAGCAAATTTGGGCAATAATGACCATGCAGGGTATGAAGCCTGGCCAGAGTTGACTTTTCTGCATAGGAAATCCACGCACCAATGTGCATGACGAGCACGCTCCACAACGCCCACGTCGATTCCAGGGCACCAAGTGTCAACAAATTGCAATCATACGGGTCACATAATATTTTATGTCATACCTTAAAACATTGGAAATCATAGGACTAACGTGACCCTTGAATAAGGATTTTGTTGGTAAATGCTGCATTGGGCTGTGGCTTGACATTCTATTGTCAGCACGTTCTGCCCAATTCAAATACTGAAACAACTGTAATGGAAAACACGAGCAGCTCGCCCCAGATCGCCGAACATGTCTTCTTGAATTCATGCATTCTATTTCTTTGGGGTTGGAAGCAGTGGCTGGACTCCTGAACGAAATGAGACATATTTTTCTTATAAAACACAACGAAAACAGGCAATCAATGTGCCCACACAAACCTGCATGAAAGCATGGAGTTTTCCATAGATGAGAAAACAGCAGACATGTTTTCAGGGCATCTCCCATGTTGTTTAACTTCAATGTTGACCCCAAGGATATGAAGGGTGCAAGCTAGTGCGTCCACAAGGGCCAGAATCAGACAGAGCAAATGGGGGCAGGCAGCCTGATTCTCTATGACCACTTTGGTGCTGCTTCATTCACAAACACAATGCCTTCATGGAAGAGCAGCATTCACATAGCCTGCAAACTGCGGCTGCTGCAGCCGCTACCAGGAGACAGACCAGCAGTGCTCCTCAGGCTGGCTGGTCCCATCGTGAGATGGTATCGACACAAGAACAAAATACTCGTTTGCGCTGCCCAATATCAATCAACATGCACTGCAGTGCACAAACGTTTCGCCCTGCAGACACTCCTGATCTTTGTAGTAGTCTGCTTCAATATGACCCTGAATGCACTATAAGCTACTCATCGCCTCCTTAATCTTGCTTTTCGGTTTCCATGACACTTATGGGACAAATTTTGAGGCCCCAAATTTTGAGGCCCTGTTGCCACTCATCGCCTTCAAAGAGGACGCCCAGGGCTTTCCTGTCAACATGCGAAAGCTATGTTCCAAGCCAAAGAGCTTTACACACCTCCTCCCACAGACTGTCCAGCTGCTGCTCTGTGCAGCACGCCTTCCCAGCGCCTGCATGCTGCTCCCACAAACTGGGACAGTACTCCTCAAGCTTCTTGGCCAGAGAATCTGTCACGTTCCTGGCGGGGCTGTTGTCTGGGCAAGGTATCCCCTTCATCGTCATGTCCCTCCCGCAGAAATCGTACGTTGCGCAGAGGCCTGGGCTGTGGTCTGTCGTCTTCCAGTCGCTGCTGTTGCTGCACACATTTTGGAACATGCAGTGAGCAAGGGAGCGTTCCACCAGTAGATGGACTGACCAGCCCCAACATAATCCAGATGGATGGCTAGCCACAAAGATGGGAATAGGTGCACATCTTTTGAGCCTCGGTTTAACGATTGCGGCGCGGCAGGACGTTCCAGCGCCTTGCCAATCGCTTCAGCCGAAGTTGCCCAAAGAAATCGCACAGCATGGTGCTGGATGACAGCCAACAGCACAAAGGAAGGCAACAAGATGGGAAACGGCAGGCACACGCCCTGCCGCTGTTGCGCAGGCTAATGCGGTTAACGACCCCGTCGCAATTTCACTCCTTTTCCCGTGAAATTCTCTCTTCTCAGTCCATTTTCTGCATTTTCGCACACCGACGAATGGATTTCCTATATCATCGGTTTTTCAGCTTCGGCGGTAAACTGCTTTCCACAGCGCGCTCATGCTCCCACCGCCGAGCACATTCCCGCGCACCTGGCCTCCTGGCACCGGGCGCCCCACGCGCAAGCCAGCAGCACCGCCACCTGCGCGCCAAACCTCCAATCTCGACATCCCCTCGACACACACCACGTCCGCAATCCAGCCGGACACCCATCGCACCCTCACACATAAGCAAAGGCAAAACGTTTCCGCCAGCAGATTTCGCCCACTTGAAAAACTGATCCTTCACAATCCATTCCGCGCACTGCCAGAGCCCGGCTTGCCTCCGTGCATGCGGCCAAGCGATCAGCACCAAAGCACAGCCCGTTCGCGACAAAGATGGACCGCAAACGGTCGAAAAGCACCCACCCCCAATGCTGAGCCCATCCCTGACCCCATCGGCGCGCGCCACGGCCCCTTCTGAGGCCGCAGCACGGATGCTAGACGGAGTGCTCGCGGCAGGGACCCCCGTTGGCTGGCCAAGGCGAGGGAAAATCGAATGATCGTCCGCCGGGGGTCGCCCTTTGCCGTCGCCCGCCTTCGCCCTTTGCGGCCGGCGTGTGAGACGGAGGTCGACGCGCACGGGCTTCCGCAGAGGGGCCGCGCCAAAACGCCTGGGGCCTTGCGTGGATGCTTGGTCAAGGAGCCCCACGCCAATGGCGCAGGAACGGTGGTTTCCAAGTACTAGCAGTTTTTTTATGAAACTACCAGAATTTCCTGGCATTTTCCGAAAATCGTCCATTCGCCCCACGTCGTCAGCAGGAACGGAGGCTGCACCAATACACTGACCGGAAGCACAGTCTCCAGCTTCGGAGGAGCAGTTTTCCCAATCTGCAAATCATGACAAAGAAAACGCACGATGGTACTTCACGGCTGGCAATGGAGACGTTGCATTGAGTACCGGTGTGCCGGAATGGCCACCACCCAGAGGGGATTTTTTCCTTGAGAACCCATTTAGTATTTTGCTACAGTACAAAATGAGCCAAACCTTCCAACGTCCTGAGACCCTGGCTGCTTGCAGTCTGGTTGGTGATTTCATCGATGGCTAGTCGAGATGACCTTGCTGGCGCAGTACAAAGCGTGCGCTGTCAAATCCACATGATGCTCAGAACAAGACAATTTTTTTCCCTGTGTTGTGTTTACCTGGATTTCGATTTCCTGCAGATGCACACTACCAAACGGTATCAGCACGTTTGTCACTCTTCTCTTCTGCATGAGACCAAGAACCCACTATCCAATCTGAATGTGGAGGTCCGCTGTGCCACCAAGATCCTTTGCCTTTGTCAAGGATGCCTTGGCATCATGCAGCAATTACAGGCCCCTCCCTTGCAAGAACAGTGAGCTTCCTAATCTACTGCCAGATTCTTGCATTCGATGGCAATGAGCTGGCAGGGGGTGATAGCCACCTCCAGTGCATCTCTGCATCTACAATGCATCGCCTATTTCCCTGTGCTGCAACAATCAAAGGCCCCTCCTTTGCAAAAACAGTGAGCTTCCTATTCTACTGCCAGGTACTTGCATTCGATGGCAATGAGCTGGCAGGGGGTGATAGCCACCTCCAGTACATCCCTGCATCTGTATTCCACCGCCGATTTCCATGTGTTGCATTGGCATTTAAGAAGCAATTTATTGCTCTTCTTCTTTGCAGGCAAAGGTGGGCATCTGCACATCGAAATGGTTACTTGTTCCTATCCATTGCTTCACTCATCTGTCCATGCACATGCACCCTATCGCGCAATTTGCGTTGCTAGAGCAGCAAAGGATGGCTGTGTATTTGCATGCTGTCCTCTTGTATTGTTTGATGATGGGGCTGCCACCACAGATGCGTGGGTAGTTCACTAATATTCAGACATCACAGCATCTTTAGCACTGTCCAGCACAGGTCAATCTCTTACTGTGGTGCTTGTGGCAGGGGCGCAATGAATTGCGTCACGTTCACACATCTTTGGCAAAGTTTGGCTCTTTCAGTTTCCACATCTTCTGACACGACAGGGCTGTGTCAAGGCAGCATTCTTCCATCAAGCACTCGCAAATCGTATTACAGAAGGTGGCAAAATTGGCAACATCAGTTCCAGTAGTAGCACTAAGCTTCCCCCAAGCCAAACCAAGCACTGCATGGGTGTTTTCAGCACAGGCCACAATGCACCGAGCTGTGCTCGGTCATTGCCTTATGGGCGTTTTGATCCTCAGCCCGATCGCAAAAACCCATGTCAAGCACTCGCCCACTGCCACACCCTTCGTGTGGAAGATCTGACAGAAGCATGTTGGGTCTCCACAACGACAGAGCTATGAGCAGCATTTGGCGATCTTCACTTGATCTCCCTGTGGAGGGTGCGTCTTCGGAGGTACTTGTTGTACTTCATGAGTTCCAACCGCCCAGTGGTGTTACGGCGGTTCTGAGCAAAGATGTTGAAACTTAGCAGGTCATCCATGCATCAAACAAATACCCATTGGCCAACCAATCATGTTTCATTCAACCCATCAACGACTTCACCGATCATTCAATCACTTCTACCGTGATGGACGGAAGAAAAAGAGAGTGTATAAGATGGTACAATGCACTTGTATCCTGCACATCTCAAACAAAATAGCACCAAGAAGGCACCGGGTTGACAGCATCTGCCGCATCTGCAGTATAACAACCCAATGTGCTTGCATGTTCAGCCCTGTGCGATTCATCAGCAACTGAAGGTGCACATGTCCAGCCCAATAGGTCATTAGGTAAGACTGCAGTGGCACAAGGGAGGGAACACGTCATCTGTGGGGTGGCCTGGGAGTGGGCATCATGATGAACTATTTGCACACCGGCATTGTCAGCAGTTTATCCAACAACGGATTCGAAGGCTTGACATCTGACCCATAATCACCAGAAGGATGCGCAGTCGTGCGGTAGGCCAGTCGGATCGGCCACTTGCCCTAATTCAAACATCCTGCAGGGCCCCCTCATGAACAGACTGATTACGGGCCATTCACAACGCCAGACTGGCTTTGCTTTGTTTCAACAAACACAAGAGGAACGCGATGGTGGGCAGGCTGTTCAGCAGGCCACTCCGCCCAGCATCAAGCCCGGTCACCACCATCCATCATTCAGCCCCAGCACCGCCCACCATTGCCACCGCCGGCCCCATCCATTCTGCAGTTGCCAACCGCGGAGAGACCCGCAGTTGTAGCCACATGCGACGCAGGCGCAACATTTCCCCTTGCCGGCGCTGGCGAACGCCTCAGAGCGGCCCAAACCCTGCAACCCCATCTTCCGTGGCCTGTGCCCCTCCTTGCGCAGGGGATTCCACATCATCATTTCACATCACGGCACACAGAGTCTCGAACACGTTTGCTTGGAAAGGTTTGACCTTTGTGTGGCCTGTTTCTCGTTCCCTTTGGTTCTCTTAACAACAGATTTGGTTCCCTATCTTATCGTTTTCCTTCGATTGAATCTCGCCCACCTTTTGCGTCGTGTACCGCGACGGCGGCTTGCCCAGTGCGCGCGCCTCCGTGCACTCCAGCGTCACGATCATCCTCACGCCCTTCTTCTTGGCCATGGCAGTGACCGTCCGCGGCGCGGGCTGTGCACGGCCAGGCGCGGCCACCGGCGGCAGCCGCAGGCCCGCGAACGCGCTGGCGGCCATGGCTGCGGGCTGGGGTGTGGCAACGGCACGCCAGCCGAGCCTTCAAGTGAATGTTTGACAGCTGCTGGGGCTGACGCCGCAGTTCTCCATTCATCATCATCATTCGTTTTTCGCACTCCAAGAGACGCCCCATCGCGCAGATAATGGCAGCGCTAACGTTTACCATGAACAGAATTTCGACGATATGCTGGACGGTCTGAAGATGCCCCACGATACGATTCACATGCATATGCTCAATACCGCACAGCCTCCCCACACCGACGACCAGCATGACCACGAAACCGCCAAGAAGAACCATGCACCGATCCACCATGCGAATCATCCTCGCCATGGCAGCCACACACGCCAGTGCCACATGAGCACCAGGGCTCAGCGACGCATCCGCCCCACCGTCCGTCATGGCAACGTTCATCCAACCCAGAAACTCATTACTCAACATCCTTACTCGCCCAGCGTCCGACACCCCTTGCGCTTTCGCACCTCAACCAGGGGTACGCAGGGCTCCACACACGCAACTGCTCAACCGCAGTCGGTCCTCACAGTCTCAGAGCTCCAGAACGCGCTATCCAGTCCGTCAGAGGGCCTCACACGCTGAAAATAGCCGGCTCTCGGGTTCACGGACACCGAGAGGGGGCCTGATACGAGTCGGGTGCCTTCGAGGGGCTCCGGGTCGGACTTTGCGCGTGTTACGCGTACCGGCCTGATGTGGGGGACGCCCTACTAATGGCCCTTGGTGGGGGGGACGCCCTGCCCAAGATAACTATCCTCAACCCATGGTAACCGTTCTAGGTATTAGGATACGAGAGTAGGAGGGGTGGTCCCGCCTAGGTCCCCGTAAGGACCTAGGTGCCCGGCGAGGCGGGTCCGCGGCTCAAAGAGGGCAGGAACCCCACACCCACACGCTTTACGTATCATTTGGTTTCGGAGCCACCTGGGGGTGGCTACCACGCTTTCGCTTGGGCGGGCGAGCGAGCACAGATGTTACGCGCATCAGCCTGATGTGGGGGACGTCATACTAATGACCCTTGGTGGGGGCATGCGCCCAAGACCAACTTATCCTCAACCCGTGAAGCGGTAACCGTTCTGGAAGTGACCAGGATGCCAGGAGTAGGAGGGGTGGTCCCGCCTAGGTCCCCGTAAGGACCTAGGTGCCCGCCGAGGCGGGTCCGCGGCTCAAAGAGGGCAAGAACCCCACACCCACGGGAGTAGGAGGGGTGGTCCCGCCTAGGTCCCCGTAAGGACCTAGGTGCCCGGCAAGGCGGGTCCGCGGCTCAAAGAGGGCAGGAACCCCACACCCACACGCTTTACGTATCATTTGGTTTCGGAGCCACCTGGGGGTGGCTACCACGCTTTCGCTTGGGCGGGCGAGCGAGCACAGATGTTACGCGCACCAGCCTGATGTGGGGGACGCCCTACTAATAGCTCTTGGTGGGGGGGACGCCCTGCCCAAGATAACTATCCTCAACCCATGGTAACCGTTCTAGGTGTTAGGATACGGGAGTAGGAGGGGTGGTCCCGCCTAGGTCCCCGTAAGGACCTAGGTGCCCGCCGAGGCGGGTCCGCGGCTCAAAGAGGGCAAGAACCCCACACCCACACGCTTTACGTATCATTTGGTTTCGGAGCCACCTGGGGGTGGCTACCACGCTTTCGCCTGGGCGGGCGAGCGAGCACGGAACACCGGGCCCCTTCCCCGGCCTCCTCCATGGAGGCTGAGGAAACGGATCCTGAAGCCCGGAAGGGCACGCCCGAATCTTCGGGTGAGGAAGAGACACC